TGTTCAAAATAAAAATTGAATTGATTTTTCCGTTATTTTAATATTGTGCCGCTCACAGCAAGCCTTTGATTGAATCTTAAACACTTTAATGCTCTATTTTTGTTTGAGGCAGATCAGAAATGGAGTTTGTACTATTCACAAAGCTAAAACAATTTGTAAAACAACAAAATCAAATTTCAAAAAACATCTTTATTTTCAAGCCAAGGGAATAAATTTAGTAAAGCTATCATTACTGTGTATACAACTTAGCGACGAAAGCCACGCACGCACATTTAATTTCTATGCATCCATTTTGGTCTAAATTAGATTTTAACTTTAATGCAGAGTATGAAAAGCCTCTATAAGGCCTTTGTTTCTACCTTTTCTCTCAAGCAATTGCAGGCTTTTTCCTGGCTAATACAAGCTCCAAATCATACTTTGCCCACCTCCCTCTCACCTGTGGATTTGGGCTGTATTCTCTGTGTTCTGTACGGGAGATTCTGGTTCTAGATCGTGCAAGGGGGTGTCTCTCAACAGGTTGACCCATGCTGCTTACAAAATAAATCACTTATAACTAGATACTGGCCAGCTCCATCCTCTTGTGTTAATTGATGGTTTAGAGCAAGGGTGGGTGAATTAGAGCCAATGGGCCACCTGTTTTGTATGATCAGCTAAGAATGGTTTTCACATTTTTAAATGGTTTAACAATTCAAGAGATAATATTTTTTGATACATGAAAACTGTATGAAATCAAAATGTCTATGAAGTTTTATTGGAACGCCGCCACCCATTGTTTACATATTGTCTATAGCTGCTTTCCTGCTTACACGGTAGAACTGAATAGTGTGACAATAGGGACCTTATGGCCCATGAAGCCTGAAGTATTTACTCTCTGGCTCTTTATGGACAGAATTGTCAACCTCTGGCTTAGAAAGAAGGGTCTTAGTAATTTATGTCCTATTAAAGGGGTTGGTACCTTCTAGGCAAGGGGCTGAGGTAGTACTCTAATAAAATACTGCATTCATGACAATAAATCTAATAGAAAGGTTTTGTGGACATATTAGTTAAAAGATCCTCAAAATGTTCATAAATGGATAAAATGAGGGGACAAAAGAACAATGAAGGGAAATAAAACAACCACAACCTTCACAAAGCTGCAGATTTGATAAATGTATTCATAAATTATAAAATTGTCAGAAATGCCCTTAGGCAAATAGGTTGAAAATACTTTAAATGCTCACAAAAATTGGGTTGAGTTTAAGCAAATGGAAGTGATTTCAGGCAAACTGTCATTGGGCGAGGGGTCTGTTGTAGCTGACAGATCCCAAACCCTGGAGACAAGGTCTGGGATTACAGAGAGCAGAAGCATCCATAGCCAGGCAGAGAGGCCTGGGCCCTTCCGCCTTCTTGTGACCTTCAGGAGAACACCCATCAGAAGCAAGATCTGAAGGACGTTGGGCTGGGTGCCCAGTTCCTCCAGGCCATGGAGTACCTGGTACCCCTTTCGGATGGTGCCCCAGGCTGGTCAGGAGAGGTGAGATGTATGCTCCTTCTCAGCCTTTGGAGTATCCAAGCAAATCCTATTTGAATCCAAGTATGGACGGAGGCTGGTGTAACCCCCTCCCTGCCCACCCCCACCCATACCTGCTCCATCAGCTGGAAACTAGAGGCTGCCAAGGAGAGGGCAGAGGGATGGGGGCTCTGCCTGCGTGACAACCTCACCTAAGGACAGCTCACACTCGTGGGTGGCTCACCCTAGGCCAGGCACCAAGGGAACGTTGAATGTTTTCAGGAGAGGTCATTTACTTAAGGAACATGGGGACCTTCAGGAAAGGAGGCAAGACCCCAACTCTTGAAACTCTTGGGTGGGACAGGGAGCTGATGAGCAAGGCCTCAGAGCAGAGCAAGGACATGAGGGTGTCCAGTCTCCATCCTTAATTGAACCTTTCAACCTTTAACTTTCAAGAAAGAGGAAACAAGAGGCCTGCAAGTTGTATGCCTGCGCAATGCCATGCCAAGCCCTTTGTGCTCAGTACTTCATTTAATCCTGCAGAATAACCTCACAAAGAAGACATCGTTACCATTTCATAACTGAGAAAAAATGGGGGCTTGGAGCACTTAGGTTTCTTGCTCAAGGTCACCCAGCAGTTATATGGCACAAACAGGTTCAAGGACCCCAAAGCCCAGCCCAGAACACCTTTAACCCTGGCACACTGGCTCTGCCACGTTTGTTATGCTTTTGTGTTCCTCCCGTTTCTCCCTCATCTGATTTCTTTCTGAATTGATTCAGTGTTGGAACCATGACTCATTCAGAAGTAGCGCATGCTGCTGTGACAGTGGCCACCGAGAAGACCCATGGAACATGGCAGCATGGCATGAAGATTAAATGTGCATTCCCTGGCCTCAGACTGCCTAGGTACAATTTCTGGCTCCACCACTTATTGTCTGTGTGACCATGAGCAAACTGCTTAACCTGTGTGCCTCAGCTTCCCCACCTGCAAAATGAGAATTATTTATACTAATTAAATAATCTATTCCAGGTAAGGGCTTAGAGTCTAGATAAGCAAGCACTCTATCCTCATTAGCTGCTGCTGTTGCTGTTTTCATTGTTGACTGATCATACCTGTTCTGTCTGCCTCACAGGATAGAATCCCAAGGGGAAAATGCTATGTTAAATAGAGCACTTCTTTAGGGGCCAGGAGCTCCGGGTTCTGAAGCCTGTGCTGCCAGTAACTCACTGTGTGGACTCAGAGACATCACCTCCCTACCGCTAACAGGTATTACCTATAGCCAGTGTTCCAGGTCCCTTTATCCCAATGGTAAACGTAATTGATAATATTTACTGGGCACACGTGGGCCACATTTACTTGCCTAATCTCTTAATCTTTATACTCACACTACTGGGTAGATGCTTTTATTATCTTCATTTCACAAAGTAGGAATTTGAAGTTCAGAGAGGTTAAGGAAGGTGTCTAGAGACATGCAGCCATAAAAAAGCCAAGCTGAGATACGAACTCAAGGAGTCTAACTCCTGCCCATGCACTTTACAGCTGTGCTTGAGCAGCATTAACTTAAAGCCGTGATTGAGATCCTATTAAGAGTCTGCTGGTCACACCACTCTGGGTCAGGGAGCAGGATCAGAGAACCTTGGCAATGCCTCCCAACACCAACCTCAGGGAGAACTGTCAACTCTTGCACAGAAAGAGAAAAAAGTGGCCCTAAAGGAGCACTTTATTGCCATGGAGTCAAACTATCCCAACAAAAGGCCCAGTGAATTTTGTCTATCAGGTAACAAAATTGATTTTAGTGGCAAGAATGAGCTCATTACGGATGCAGCTTGTGCTAATAATGATAATTTACTGAGCAGTAAAATCACCTCTCTACCTCCCCCGCCAACAGACAACGCTCTAGAAATTATAGGCTAGGGAGAAACAGAAAGGATAAAGATTAAGGAAAAGAATTACAGTGCAGAACTGCTTAAACAAAAGAGTTACAGATTTGCACATGGAACTTGGTAATCTTAATCATAAAGTTGTAAAAGAATTAGATACTATTAAAGAATTTTTATAATTGTCTTTATTTAATTTTGTTACTGCTGTCACTAGGTGGTTGTTTCTTGTTTTTGTTTCACTTTTATAGCTCAGGCCATTTTTTAGAAGTTGGTGCAAAAGGAATTGTAAATGACTTAAATATTGATGCACGATATGATCCCATAGATGAGAGTAAGATCAGCACAGTTGCAAGGAATCATTGCAGTCTGGCACACCCCCCTTAATTTCATGGGCAAAGATCCCAATAATCTTGAGCCGCAAGCAGCCATTTGCTAACTCTGTGGGTTAGGGAGAGGGGGCCAGGCAGACACGAATTCCATGTGGCTCATTCAGAGATGCAGCAGGCTGGGCCACTTGGCCCACAGGTGAGAGATCTAGCTGGTTTCCTTCTTGGGATTGTGGATCACTCTTGCAGGGTTTTAAGAATGCTGGAAGAAACCCTGACTTTTCTGTGAGTTTTACCCCAGCCTTTTGAAGAGAATGCCAGCTAGCTTCTATTAAGATGTGACTTTTGTCTTTAAATACATAATCTCTAAAATACTAAAATATCTTTTAGCCAATTCAAATAAGGATTTTGTAAATGACACTTTTTTCTGATTACGAAAACAATGCCTATTGGCTGTGGAAAATTGGAAAATGCACAAATAAGAAAATAAAAATGACCAATAGCACCAACATCCAGGGGGTTAGCACTCCCTGCTTTGTTTAACAAAAAACAGGATTATTGTGTGTGTGAGAGAGAGAGAGAGAGAGAGAGAGAGAGAGTGAGAGATACACATAGGTTACTATTGTATAGTTTTTAGGACCTTTTCCACATACTGTATCCTAATATTTTTTCACAAAAGTATTCTTCCATCACATAACTTTTTTTTTTTTTTTTTTTTTAAGACAGTCTCGCTTTGTTGCCCAGGCTAGAGTGAGTGCCATGTCATCAGCCCAGCTCACAGCAAGCTCTAACTCCTGGGCTCAAGCAATCCTTCTGCCTCAGCCTCCCGAGTAGCTGGGACTACAGGTATGCGCTACCATGCCCGGCTAATTTTTTTATATATATTAGTTAATCAATTAATTTCTTTCTATTTAAAGTAGAGACAGGGTCTCACTCTTGCTCAGGTTGGTTTCGAACTCCTGACCTCAAGCAATCCGCCCACCTCGGCCTCCCAGAGTGCTAGGATTACAGGTGTGAGCCATCGTGCCTGGCCCACATTATTTTTTAATCATGAGATTTGCTGTAATCTCAAATCCAGTAGGGATGGGGTCATTGTTTTGTTTTGTATGACAATCACCTTTACATACATCCTCGATTGTTTCTCTGGACAAGGGTTCTCAACCAATTCTATGCTAGGAACCCTCTGGCTATCTGGTGAAACCTGTGGACCTCTTCTCAAAATGTTTTCAAACATATAAAGTAAAATAGAGAAGATTACAAACAAAACTACATTAAAATATTATCAAAATATTATAAAGACCAAATTTATAAAATAACCATTTGTTTCTTTATTCATATATTGAATAACAATGTTAGAGAGTAGTTATAGTAGCCCTAATAACTACTATGATTGTAAAGTAGTGATGAGCTTTAACATTGTTTTAAGCTGTTTGAAACAACTGTCACATGATATGAAAAGATCTGCGATGACTATCGGGCTGAGTGACAGGTGATGCTGTAGTCTGTTGCTTACATTCATAAATGAAGGAAATACTAAATTCCACTTGGAGGTTAATGAAAACAAAGATGTAACTTTTTTCTCATCAAAGTTCTCCCATCTCCTGGTTTCTACCCTTGGGAGCCCAGGTAAAATTCTTGCCTTGGGAAAAAATCGCAGGAGGAGCTTGCTGCATCTTTCAGCTGGGCACATCTTTGAGCTTCCTGATGCCAACAGCCTGGTTGTCCCAGGAACGGCTTTTGATTTCTTCTGGGAGCTGATGGCTGCCCAGGGAGGTCAGAGTGCCTGTCAGTGGCAAGAGGATGTTATCCAGCATCGTGGGCTCAACTGTGTCCCTCAAAAGAGATACATTAAAGTTCTAGTCCCCAGTAGCTCAGAATGTGATATATTTCGAAATAGGGTTATTACAGGTGTCACTAGCTAAGATGAGGTGACTGGATTAGGGTGACTCCTAATCCACTGCCACTATTGTCTTTGTAAGAAGATGGCCACGTGAAGGCAGAGAGACTCACAGGGAGATTAAAGCTATGCAGCAAGAAATGCCGAAGTTGCCGAAAACCATCATAGGCTAAGAAGGGGCGAGGAAGGATTCCCCTACAGGCTTCCGAGAGGCGTGGCCCTGCAAACACCCAATTTTGGATTTCCAGTCTCCACAACTGTGAAACGATAAATTGCTATTGTCTTAAGCCACCCTGTTTGTGGTACTTCATTAAAGCAGCCCTGGCAAATTAATGCAGCTGGTATCTGCCAGCCACCTCCCCCCAAACCCCACAGACTGGGATTTGAAAAAATCAGGGCTGGGGAAGGCATGGCATCTGTGCCAGTGTTGGGGACATGCCACGCCAGGACCCAGGACTACCTAGTTAGAGGGCTGAACTAGGTCTTCAATGAAAAGAACAGATGCGCCCCCTCCCCAACACCCTGGCTCAAAGTCAATATAACCTAGAAAAATACTGCTCAAAAACCTGTAGCATGCTGGGAAGTAGCTTCTGTATTCCACATGATAATAAAAGGTCTTTGTCATTAATGACATGCTATTGCCAACAGCTCAGGATACAGGCAGTAGTTAAAAAATTCTTTTTTTTTTTTTTTTTTTTTTTTTTGAGAGAGAGAGAGTGTCTCACTTTGTTGCCCAGGTTAGAGTGAGTGCCCTGGCGTCAGCCTAGCTCACAGCAACCTCAAACTCCTGGGCTCAAGCAATCCTTCTGCCTCAGCCTCCCAAGTAGCTGGGACTACAGGCATGCACCACCATGCCCGGCTAATTTTTTCTATATATATTAGTTGGCCGATTAATTTTTCTATTTATAGTAGAGATGGGGTCTCGCTCTTGCTCAGGTTGGTTTTGAACTCCTGCGCTCAAACGATCCGCCCACCTTGGCCTCCCAGAGAGCTAGGATTACAGGCATGAGCCATCACGCCCAGCCTAAAGAATTCTTGTTATTAAATTTCCTTATTGCCCTTTGGGGTGGGGGTGAGGGACTGATTTGGATGCAAGAATGGCAGGTTTTTTAACCTCCCCTTAAGGTTCACCTCTCCTTGGGAGATTCTGGGTTTCTAGCCTCTGCATGCTTTGCTGAACAGAGTGGCTCTAGATAAATCTTCCTGTAGGATGGCAAATTTGGCCTCTGAGTACAGCCACACATCGTCAGAGATCTGGGGTCCTCTCCTAGGGGTCTTTCAAGACCAGGGCAGCTTCCATCTGAAATAGAAACCATCCACTTAAGTCATAGGCAAGCAGCACCACTAAGCAGAGAGGCCATCACAAACATCTCATCCCTTTTTAAAAAAACAGTAAGAAGGAAAGAAAGAATCCTTCCTTACCTGGAACAGAGAAATCTGGATATACTGGCAGCAGCTCTTCATGTGGCAAAACTCTTGGAGAAGGAGCAGAAGGTTGTGTGGAGGTAACTCCATATGTTCTAAATTAAGAACAGAAGTCATACAGTTACTCCTTTTATTGAGAATAAATATAAGAATTTATATAATATATGCAGGTGAACATGGCTATGCTTATTTCTGTGTGAACATGGCTATGCTTATTTCTAATCCTTACAATTTATCCTGAAGGTAAAGATCATCATCCCCATTTTGCAGAATAGAAAACTGAGGCCACAAGAGCCATCCTACGCAGTGCCCTGGTGTCCCCTGCCTTCTCACCCACTTAGCACCCTCGGGCATCAGGCTGCTGCCAGGATGGGGAGCCCTGCGGGTGTTTACTCCCAACCCTCCCTGCAAACCCGCAGAGACCCCAAGCAGGGCTACTGGGCAATGCTGAGCACAGGTGGGGCGTGGAGGGTGGCTGCCTCCGGGGAAGGCCCTGCAACTACACCTCAGGCACTTTCTCTACGACAAATCAAACACAGAAACAGTCACAGTACTGGGATGGGGACATCTGGTAAAGCCCTGCCCAGGTCTGCTTTTCTCCCTTGATCTTGTGCCCGGGATTAGGACCCAAGCCAGACTTACTCCTCATATGGTTTCAGACGCGCTCTCTCAGCCCGCTCTATGAGGTCCAGGAAGTCCTTGTAGCAGTTTTTGGCCATGACCGTATACCTTGTGGCACAGCCAAGTTCAGTGACCCTGGCTCTCGGCAGGTAGCCCCCCCAGCCAGGGATCGGGGGCTCCTGGAGAGGTTTCTTTAAGTATTTGCATTCTGTGAAAAAGACATCATGCTTCCTGAAGGCTTTGGAAAGCCACACAGTGGGCAGGGCTCTTGAATTAGATGGCACCTCAACACTTAACCTAGGGTGAGCCCTCGGCCTGTGGACGTACTAAGGGCAGCCACCACTCACCGGTTGATTCTCCGTGCCAAGCACCTTGGTAGGGGCTTTGCAGGCAGTATCTCATTTAATTCTCTCACAAACCCTAAGAGGTTGGAACCCTTATGACCTCCACTGTATGAAGGAGGAGGCTAAGACCTTGAAGAAGTCACATAGCCAGGAAGGGGCAGGGCCAGTATTCAAACCTGCCTCTGTCTGATCCCCAGGTCCTTGGTCTTAAACAGATCCTGCTTATTTCCCAGGTTAATGACAAAGCTTCAGATATCCCTCTGTGAGTCACAGAGTCCGAATCTGTGACAGTTTACGTAAGGGAGGAAATCAAGAGATGCATCCAGGTTTGGAGAAAGCATATCAGACTCAGCACAGGAACTGACCTCCCAGTCCTGGCTCTGACTCTGGCTGGGGCTTCACTGCCCCAGATGCCACCTCCACTTGTGTAAGAGCCTAATTAGGCCACTGAGTCCCAGACCTTCAGAGCCGGAAAGCATCTAGGAAGCACCTAGTCCATCCTTCCCTGCCATAGATGAAGAAACTGGAACCCAGAGAGGTGAAGCAAGCTGCCCTAGATCCACAGCAGTAGTCACAGGGCTGGGCTATATCCGAACTCTTTGGCAAACATCCTTGCTATTGCTTGGAGTAACGCTTGGAAAATCTTAAAGCACAGCAAACATGTTAATTATCATGCATTCTTGAAAAGCCCCCAAACAATAATAATGATAGTAATAACAATAAAGGCATTCAATCTGTCACTTTTCCTACAAGCCTTTAGACCCTTATAAATGATATAGGTCAAATCATTGTTGTGATTATTATCATTATATAATCATGTCATCAATTGTTATTCAATAGGACACCCCTTCCCACCCAGCTAGCACCTGGAAGAGCTGGATTCAAACCCAGGTCTGACTTCAGAGTCCGTACTCGGACCTCAGCCAGGTGACACTACCTCTGGAAGCCTCACTCCCTCGAGATGGGAGTAACAGTCTTGAGCCCATAGGGTTATTGTGAGTGGTTAGTAAAATGATGGTGCCTGGCACAGAGAAAGCAACCAAATTATGGTAATTATTTGTTACTGATGCCTGAAAACTAACTGTGACTTGCCTAGGGTCTCTTAGTTCTCAGATCAGCACCCTTCTTCCCTGACCAGGACAGGGCCCCTGTCCCCGGGAAATGGATCTTTCTCATTTTGAAAAATGGAGCCTTTCCATTTCATGCTGACTCCTGGGGATTTGGAACTGTGCTGGATTCTAAGGGCTCTGTGGCAGCTCAGCTGGCCTGGGAGGATCTGCACTTGGGGTGAGAGGTGAGGGGAAGAGGGTTTAGGCAGCCGGTACCCAGGACCATGGGGTGGTACTGCCGGTAGTACTGGTGCAGCGCCCGCAGGACCGTGTTCTCGGAGTTGACAGGCTTCAGTTTCGGGGCGGTGGCCACAGAGCAGCGAAATTCCTCCAGCTGGTCTTTATAGCGCTGGGTGTTCTCCTGGAAGGTTTTCAGACAGTGGCCCATGTCATCTTCCTTGGCGGTTCCCTGGCAGCTAAGGAACGGCACAAAGCCTGCAAGAGCCGATGGGATCGCAGCCTTCAGCAAGGCAGCCAGCAAGGAATTTAGAGCCTGCCTAGACTGCCCAGAATTTCAGCCCACCACTTGGCCCCTCTTCCTCAGCCAGCAGCACTGCCATTTCTCCAAAGGCCATTAATACAAGCAGCGCCATTGTTTCCATTGTGGCTGGGCCCTCCCAGGGCCACAAAAAATGACCTTGGAACTGTGGAGGGAAGGCCCATTTCAATAAAGGCGATGACAGTAATATTCTTTGATGGCAAAGCCCCTGACGTCAGCCCGAACGGCAAACGGGGAAAGCATTTAATGGGACAAAATGATAGTCTGAGGAGTAATTGAAATTATTCATCTTTTTAGAGAGAAAGCTTATTTTCCTCAACACTTCCCAAATGCAATTTGGGATCTTTCTTGCTGGACCATCAGGAAATTGCAGGCTTATTAAAAGCAGAGACCTATTACACAAAAAGGTAAATTCATTATCTGCAAGACCCACCCCCAGAACAATTTTTCACCATTTCCCACAAAATAACATATAATCATTACAATTAGTGTGGGTAAAACACACAGCTATTTATTTAAACTGGATGCTGAATCCTAAGTACTATAATATTGTCACAATAAAACCATTTTTTTGAAGAACAAATGAGCAAAACTGGTTAAGAACTTGGTTTTAAACTGCAAATAAATAAGTGGCTCTCATTATTGAAGCCCAACATTTTTGACTTTGCCCCTAGGAAAACAAAACTTGGCTACAAAGTTGAAAAAAGCAACCCCAATCCCCCTACCCTACAATAAGCTACCTCTGGAAGAATCTGATTACTAGACTGATCTTGACAGCGCCGGAAGTCCTCCACGAACCAGCAAGTCTCCCCTAATGTCATGGTGAGACCACAGAATCCCAGGGTTCCTGCCATAGTGGTTTCCCTGCCATCAGGGCCTGCTTTGATCTGCACAGATTTTATCTCAGTGTATATATACCTGCGCACATAGGAATTGGGAATACAAGTGTCTTGCTAAGGACTAAGGCATTTAAACTAGGTTATGTGTGCTAGCTCCTTTAATCCTCACAACAATCTTTTGATATCCCATGTAGTGATTGAACTATATCCCCAAACAGAGATCTTCAAATCCTAACCCGATACCTGGGAATGTGCTCTTATCTAGAAATGGGGTCTTTGCAGATGTAATTAAGTAAAGGATCTAGAAATGAGATCGTCCTGGATTTAGGATGGGTCCTAAATCCAATGACTGGTGTCCTTATAAGTGAAAGAAGAGGTGGATTGGAGTCATAGAGCCACAGGAGAAAAGGCATGTGAAGATGGAGACAGCAACTGGAGAGATGCTGCCACAAGCCAAGAACACTGGGGCCTCCAGAAACTGGAAGAGGTAAAGGTAGGATCCTCCCCTAGAACCTTCAAGACACCTTGATTTCAGCCTTCCAGCCTCCAGTACATTTCTGTTGTCTTTAAACCACCCAGTTTGTGGTAACTTACTACAGCAGTCCTAGAAATTAACATATCCATTTTATCAAACTTTTATTTACTATAGAGAGGTAAGTCACTTACAGGTGGTAGTCAAGCAGATTTGAATCTCAGTTTGAACCCAAAGCCTGTTCTCTTAACCAGCCAGTAGGACCAGGGTGAGGCTGGGCAGCCTTGGCATATTCCCCAAGCACCACCCCTCCTGAGAATAGCTGTGTGGGACAGCTGAGGGCCTAAGAGGACCTCTGAGTTTGTCACCCACAGGGATGTGACTTAGTAAGTTCTCGGTTGCCCAGAAGCCTAAGTAGAAAGAGTCTCTAGGTAGGGCAACTAGTTGTCCTGGCTTGCCAAGGACTGAGGGGTTTCCTGGATGCAGAACTTTCAGTGCTAAAACCAAGACAGCACCTGGCAAACCAGGGCAGTGGGCCACCCTCCCTTTAGGAGACACAAGAAGGAATGGGAGCATAAGAATGACCTTTTTGGGAGACTTGAGAAAGCCCAACTTGGGAAAGACAGGGCCCCCCTCATTCATGTATCTGTCCTCATTGCACTGTCTATCCTAGTCCAAATTCATTCAATAGGCATTAAGTGCTTCCTGCATACTAGGCCATGTCCTGGGAGATCTGGCCTAAGTTCTCTCTCTCCATTTATAGAACCTGACTATCAGCCATCTTCAGGAATAGAGTGCTCTCAATGTGTGTCTTAAAAGCTAGAACTGCCAAGAGCAATGGCTCATGCCTGTAATTCCTACACTTTGGGAGGCCAAGGAAGGAGGACTGCTTGAGGCCAGGAGTTTGAGACCAGCCTAGGAAACACAGCAAGATGCTGTCTCTACAAAAACTTTTTAAAAATCAGTGGGTTCTGGTGGTGCATGCCTATAGTCCCAGCTACTACAGAGGCTGAGGCAGGGAGAATCAAGATCTTGAGTCTATGAGTTCAAGCTGCAGTGAGCTATGATTGTGCCACTGCACTCTAGCCTAGGCAACAGAGCAAGAACCTGTCTCTTAAAAAAAAGAAAACAAAAAAAGCTAGAGCACCTATACTGTCCCAGTGGGCCAGATAGTGACCCAAGGTAGGGACAGAGACCAAGACCAGGGTTTTCCTGCCAGGCATGGCTATACATGCCATCCATACTTACCACTGTAGCCTGGTGTGACTGGCAGCTTTCTCATGAAGGTCTTGGAAGATTCCATGGTTCCTCTCTCTGTTAATGAAGGGAAGGAGGAATGAAATGTTATCATCAAAAGTCCCTACCTTGGCCGAGCGTGGTGGCTCACGCCTGTAATCCTAGCTCTTGGGAGGCCGAGGCGGGCGGATTGCTCAAGGTCAGGAGTTCAAAACCAGCCTGAGCAAGAGCGAGACCCCGTCTCTACTATAAATAGAAAGAAATTAATTGGCCAACTGATATATATATGTAAAAAATTAGCTGGGCATGGTGGCGCATGCCTGTAGTCCCAGCTACTCGGGAGGCTGAGGCAGAAGGATCGCTGGAGCCCAGGAGTTTGAGGTTGCTGTGAGCTAGGCTGACGCCATGGCACTCACTCTAGCCTGGGCAACAAAGCAAGACTCTGTCTCAAAAAAAAAAAAAAAAGTCCCTGCCTCAAGTACTTACTACATGTGTGTGCAAGCCCTGGGAAGTGGAAGAATGACTTGTCAGGGGTTGGGACAGAGGCAGCACCACCATCTTACCCAAAGCCAGTGGATGTGGCTGGCTTCAGTTATGAATCAATAATCTGGTTCCACCAGTGTCTACCTTCCCATGGAGACCCTCTCCCCTCCATCCAACCTTCCATCCATCCATCCATCCATCCATCCTTCCATCCAACAATTATGAACTATACACATACTATGGCCATGGAATGTAACAGAGGTTGGCAATATAAAGATGCACAAGGCCCAGGAGCCCCCATGTAAGGACAATGAATCTTGGGGCAGGGGAGAGACAAGGCACTCACACCTCCGGAGCCCTTTCTTTGCCCAGGTGATTTTTGCCAGTCCCCAATCTCACCCCTGGAATATCTGGAGACATTTTTGATTGTCACATCTGGGGAATGGGATGCTACTGGTGTCTAGTGGCCAGGATGCTGGTAAATATCCAAGAAGGCACTGCACAACAAAGAATTAAATTCTGCTTGAAGGGGTCAGGAAGTCCCAAAAGACTAACATAGAGTCCTAGGTGAGTGAGCAGAGTGTGTGTGTGTGGGGGGGGGCGTCCACTGAAGCGTGAGTTTATGTAGATGCTGTTTCTGGAGCAAAACCCCTTCCCTCTTTGGGCATCACCGGTAGTCCCCCCAAATGGGCCATGGCCTTGCCACTTCCTACCCTGCCAAGCTAGTTCATCTCCTTAAAGTGATGCCCTGGAGGCCAGGAGAAGGAAATTCAGGGTGGAGGGGAGGGCCACAGTCATGGGTTAGTCAGTAATGATGTGAATTGTTAAGACAGTTCAGCCCCCATCAGGCTGACAGCGGTGAGGACTGCACCATGTCTAGGCCACTGATCTCGGACCCTGATCTCAGGTGCCTGGCTCCTGAGAGCAGACGCTGGTCCTGCAGTCACAGACCTGGCTCTGAATCCACATCCAACACATCCAGACCACCTGCTTCCCAAGAATTGTTCTGAAAGCTTTACATGTATGTGTTAACTTATTTAATCCTCTCAACAGCCCCATGACAAAAATGCTATTATTATACCCATTTCCAGAAGAGGATTAAAAAAGGCAACAGGTATTTATAGAACACTGGCTGTGCCCACATGGCTGAAGCAGAACGGTTCTTGTTTAATCCCCACAGCTTCCCTAAGAGTTAGTTTCTACTGGAGTCCCCATTGCATAGATGAGGAAAAATAAGGCCAAGACGGTTCTAGAGTAAAAGGGGATATGAACAAATGACCTCTAAAATCTTCCTGGAGGAGGTGTCCTGAGGGAGGGACCAGGAGGGGGCTAGAAAGCCAGAACAGGACCCCTTCCCGCTCCCTAGCGCTCACCTGGGCCGGCCTGGATCATGCCTGGTGGGGCCTCCTGCCCACCCCAGCCTCTGTGCCAGCCTCCCGGCCTCCACCTCCTGCCAGGCCTTTGTGCGCTCACCCCGCGGGGGAGGGAGCGGGAACGCCCCACCCCGTTCCTTCCCTGCCCCCCACCGGGAACGGGGAGCGGTGGGTGAACAGGGTGAGTTCGCGCACGTACCCCAGCTCAGCCCGGCCCCCGATGTGAAAATGGGCATTTGGCCTCGAAGCTGCCCCCCGTGCCCTGCCGTGTCCCCGCAGCGGGGCTCAGGGGCTCGCAAAGCGCTGGGCCGAAGCCGCCATCTTGCCGGTGTAGACTGGGGCGTCGGGGCCTGGCCGCCGCCTGGAAGCCGGAGGCCTTGGGGGGAAACGGGGGCGTCTGAGCAGGGCCAAAAGTCAGGGCTGTGGGAGGCCGGGCGGCCGCGGGAAATGGCCCGGGGAGGAGGCGAGGCCCTGCTGCCCGCCGTGGTGGTCTCCGGACCTGGCAACCCCCGTCCCTCTTTCCATCTCCCATGATTAGAGGCCGGATTTTCAGGTGGCCGGGGCAGGGCACCAAACTGAAGGGCTGCCTGGGGAAGGCGAGTCTTAACGCCTTTCTCATCATCCTTAAACCAGGTGGAGAACTCAAGTTTGCCTTTACAAACGGCTGGCCCGGGCACAGCTTCCCAGCGGACGTGTGGTTTGCTGCACCTCCCAGCCTTTCCTACCTCTGCTGTCCTAGAAATTGAACTTCTGATAAAGCCTGGTGGAGCAACCATCATTTATACCCCTCTTAAGAGCCCTAGGACTCCACTTCAGGCCCGCTTATAGAGCCAACTTTGGGGAGTGACCCTTGTGTGGGGCCTGGAATTAACCCAAGGCTCTGGACACAGCTAGTGTTTGGTGCCTGCTAGGATGCCCAGGGGCACACACTTGTCCCAGGCCTTCGGCATGTTTTCAATGACTTTCATTAGGGGCCAGCAGAGTTGTCAGTGGCCACCCAGCTTAGCTTGTTTCTCTCTGGCTGCACTGCTTTCTTCTAGCTTAGAGGGAAAGGGGCTCTGTGGACACCAATGGAGCCTTGGTTCCTGGCAAACAGAGAGGCTAGTCTTGTTGGAATGACTGTTAATAAAACTTAACAACACTTGGTAAAGGACCCGAAAATCAGTCTCCACCTGAGATGGGGTGGAAGGGGAGGTCAGTAATCACCTGTCCATAATTCCATTTGCAAACCCAGAATGGGGAAAAAAATGTCTGGGCCACATGAGATCCAGAGTTTTGCTTTATTTGACATCCGTGAAGACAGTTTGCAGATACAATCCTGTCAAGTTGTGAACTGCTGCAAAGTTCTGTGAAATTTGAATTTATCTTGTAGTGAACAAGACCCCAATAGCTGTTTATTTTAGAATTCAAGCAGATGAGAGGTGTGACATTATGGCCAACAACTTTTATACTAGTCACCCACTTAAGCCATTTCCTAGCATACATATGCAGCTTAATCACAGCTATTACATCTCTACTATGTGAAATTCGATCTTCAACTAATAATGCATTTTGACTCCTGTATATATTGGTGCATGCGATTCTTTGCTACCCTGGCAATTAACCAGACCTGGTCTCTAAAAGCTAAACTTGGTCTAAATAACATTCTAAAGGTAGGGCAGCCTTTGTAATCTGGACTCATCTCAGCCATTACTTTGCAAAATCACTTGTGTGGCTCCTTTTTTCCCTTATCCTGTCTGTAACTTGTCTGTTATTCAGCATTTATTAATAATGCCTACTGTGTACAGAAAAGGTAGTTACAAAGGAAATCCTTGGCAGTCTGCTTCCAAGAAACGTGGATATTAGATAATATGCCCAGGGGCGATTGAGTAATGGGTCAAAACATTTTGAAAAATTTCCTAAGATTAGAAAATGTGAACAAGTGTACTTATCCAGTGCTTTCATTCTAGAATACTTTAGCAGGGGGTGGGGGGCGTAACAGATGGATTTGGGGGTTTCTTTTAAGGAATTTGACTACTAGGGCTGCATATCTGTAGCCAGAAGAAAGTCCAGTAAGATTATCCCCCTCTCTGTCTATCTGCTAACACTGCAGATTCCTATCAGCTTATTTAAGAGAATAGTAGACAAGGAGACATCCTTAATTCAAGGTGGGAAAGGCTTTATGTTAGCAAAAAAAAAAAAAAAGCGGGGGCTTACCTATATTGCTCAGACTTACATTTAACCCAGGAGAAAAGCTGGGTATACGTACCACTTGGTTCCTTTCCAGCATAAAAACATCACACATAGTGAACCACACTTTGCCTTCAGAGTAACTGCTTTGCCCCAGAAGAGAGGCTGATGACAGGACGCAGAGCTTTCTAAAGTCGTTCTGCACAGTCATATTGCTTACAGAACCAGAATGTTCAGCTCTCAAAGTCTGTACAGGAGAACTGATAAAATATGCTCCTTTAAATATAATCTGTGAATCTTTGGGAAGGGTGTACATGTAGAAGGTTCTAATGAAGTTGTTGATCCAGGTGGTCTGTGTGTTCAGAGTGTTCTGACCCTAGGCACCTCTGTCTATTGCTCAGTCTTGCAAACATAGTCCATAGCTTGGTATCGGCACAAATGGATGCTTAGTGAGCACAATTAAAAAATGAAACTGTGGAAAATTAAGGACAGCAATTAAAGAGCATTTCCTCTTTTTTAAAACAAGAAAAGCACATCGTAGAAATAAAGATTCTGTACAATATTCTAACATTATATATACACAAAATTATATTACTCATAACAACATTGAAAAGTCTCATTTGTAGAACATAGCTGGCAACATCAAAGAAAGATCCATAACATACAGCTTTTGAAGCAGCACGGGTAGCGGGAGAACACTAGCAAACACACCTTTGTGCCTGGATAACAAAATCCTGCAACCAAGTTATGTGACCAGCGTTCTCTAGTTCTGTGGTTTGCTTGTGTTTTACATTCTAGTAAGGAATTCTGCAGCAGGCAATGTAAAAAGATGTGAAAATGAAATTGAAAAAGCTATTTAAAATCTGCATATCTGCCATGATATGGGGTTTGTGAATCCAACTTGCATTCGAAGTTCATTTGCTCATTCTCTATTCATTCATTATGCATGCCTCCAGTGATTTAAAATTGGAACGGCTTCCAGCAGGTGGAGAAGACAGCTTTGAACAGGTCAGATGGGCTGTGAGTCAGATTCTTGATTCTTTTTCCTCAATTGGCTCTGGAATGTTGGAGAAAATCGGTTTTGTACAGTGGGGAAGGAGAGAAGGCAGACCAGACCCTCTAGCTGGTTCATCAGTCAGCCCTGTTCTTAGGGTTCCTTTCTAGCATTCTTTTACCCCCTTAGGCCCTTCCTATGAGGGCTAAAAGGGCCATTCCCATGCCAGGTGGAGCCTCAACCCCACTGACGAAGGGGCAAGATGCAGGATCACCTTCACATGCAAATCCTCTTCTAAGGTGACGTAAGGGGAAGATCAAAGGGGGCTGTGGTCTGTGCTTCAGCTTCGGCAGAACCTGAAGTTAGCATTTGCCAGATTTCAGTTGAACCTGGTCCCCTCTCCAAGAGTGACTGCAGTTAAAAAGGGACAGGATCCAGGAACCTGTTTTTAACAAGCACCCAGGCAATTCTGATGCAGGTGAGCACAGAACTGCTTTGAAAAAAAAATGGCTTAATTCATCAAGTACAGGTCTACATGTTATTTGTAGACAGGCTTTAAAATCTGAAGATACGAATGACACATTTCATAGAACAGATGCTCTGCTCATATTTCACCAAGTATTCCTTTCAAAACGTGGGAATAAATGGCCAAAACCCTTAGGGGGATGAAGGTGAGCGGGAAGGAGGGGGTTAATTTAAAAGCTAGATGCTTTTCAGGGTGGGGGCTGCCCTGGCCTTCTGTGAACAAGGCATATGGCAACCTCATTTTCTCACACAGAATCTCTACTAAGATTAACTAGAATTACTTATGAACTTAGAAAGCAGGACTTGGCATTCTGGGAATTATATCACAGCATATAATTTGGGATCTGTCAGTAACTCTTTAATATCCATTTCCATCAGAGCAACTTTTTACTTGCTGAAAAGGTGAGATATCAGCTCTCCTACTCATGAAAATCAGAGTGGATTAGCCAAACTACGGTTGTTCCCCCCAGAACCTCCTCGTTATTTAAATGATATGAGAACCTAAAACAGCACCCACCCGGTGTAGGCAGTCTTCTATCACCAGCTAAAAACATTCCAAGTTCCCACTGAATCACCACTTTCAATCACATAATGATGAAAAGAAATTAAATGCAGATGGGTGGTATTTTATACTGACTGCCATCCAAAAAAATTTAAAAGTCTCAGATGAAGATCTCCTCCTGGCTCAAAGATCTCATTTTAAATCTAGAAAGATAGCAAGAGGGCATCGTAAATCCTACTTAACAGAGATCTATTCCAAGCAGGCTCAACCACTGCTGCAGAAATGTACTGATTCCCTTGTCGGTGGCTATTTTACCACGTTTGTACCTATGAAAACTAGCTGCTCTTCTAGGATCCTTTAATTTCCTATGTCCAAACTGTATTCCTAATTTCTGGCAGTTTTTCTGACTCCAATGTGCCCGCAAAAATCCCTAATTGTTTCTAGCCTTGATTGTTCTCATCTTCCCTGCTGAAATTCAGGTGGGCAGTGGCATGGGTCAAGGTCAGGGAAAGAACAGTCAAGGTTGAGGTCAGCAGATGCAGGTAAGTCGAGTCGAGGGGGCAGGCGGCAGGGGGGAGTGGTTAGTAATTTAAGAAGTCGATCCCGACTTTGACACTCTTGGAGGTGGCTATATCAACGGCTGTGGCCTTGATCTCAGTGTCCCCGAACTGCATAAGGGTCTGGATCTCCCTCCGGGCGGGCACTGCCACACCACTGGTCCCCGTCAGATCCAGGCGGAGCGTGCCGCACTTCTTCACCCCGGGGTCGGTGATGAAGCTGACGTTGTCGTGCTCAGAGCTGTAGATGTTGATGACGATGACCAGCTGCGAGGGCTTGGCTGGGGTATAGCTGCGCTTGACCAGCTCACCCAGGGCCACCGACTGGTCGGCAGAGATGAACTTGTCGAAGACGTCGGTGCACCAGCGAGTGCCGTCTTTCACCAGCAGCTTCTCGGGAGGGTGCTTGCCCTCCACGTAGCGGTTCAGCACGCCCACCCCATAGGTGAGTGGGGACCGGCGCACCTTGATGACGGCGGGGTCCAGGCCAAAGAGGACAGCACCCTTGAGGATGGTGAGGCCCACATCCTGGGGGATGATGATCCGGCACTTGTCCCCGAAGGCAGCCTGCACTGCCTGCTGCAGGAGGGGTGCCTCGGCAAAGCCGCCCACCAGGAAGAGGAACTTGACAGTGGACACCTCGGGCTTCTGAAACAGGTCCCCTGAAAGGGAAGGGGAAGGGAGAACATCCTGTCACCAAGAGTCAGCAAGCAGGGGGGAACAGGGCTGCCCAAGTCTGTGGAGGGTAGACAAAACCACTTGGGCCAACGAGGAGGACAGGCTTAATCTGAGCTTCTTGAACAGAATTTTTAGAAAGCTGATCTTTTAAAGAAAGGGAGTTTGCACACCAATATGTTCAGGAATAAGAGCCAGAGCTGCTACTTAGTAGAAACCCATCTGAACAGATAAATGGTAGTAATTTTAAATAGAATTTGTTATGCATAAATGAATATTCCTAAAGCTCTCCAAATGTGGTTCTGTTGAGTAAGTCAAGGCAGGCTGTTATAAATAGAATTCTTGGATTTTCATAAAAATCCCATCTGATTTGGTAGGTGAGGGGTGGGAAGTGGATTGGGGGTGGGGGTTGGGGTGCTTGGATACTGCGAAAGGTCCCTGGTGAGTCTGCTATGCGTCCCTAGGAGAGTGCCACCAACAGAGCAGGACAAAGGCATTGCCCTCTTGCACACTTTCCTTTGTTTATACAACAGTTCCTTCTCCTCTAGCAGGGTAAGGATTCCCAGTTTGTCCTGATAAAGCAAGGAATGTGCATTTCCTAGGGCCTGTAACTTTCAGATAATAATATTGCTCTAGAGCTTCCAGCTCTCTGACTTTTAAGGGCAAACAGAAAGCCCGGGTGAGACAGGCTCTCAGTGGCTTTCTGTGCCCAGCAGCCTCCCTCGTACATGCTTGAGCCCTGTCCAGTCCCAGCCCTGGGTCCCCTGCCGGCCTGGCTTCACAAGCACTCACTGGTGATGCAAGAAAAGTCGCTCCCGGTCCTCAGCTCTGTGTCACCGAAGGGGCCAAGCCCTGGCAGATACTTACGCAGATGCTCAATGATGCTGTCGATGGTCGGCTTAAAAAGGGCATTCATGGCGTCCGGACTCATCCTCAGCATCCCCTGCGAGGACCACTTCACGAAATCCACACTGTGGGAGGGTGGCAGAGAGGAACAGGCAGTGAGTATCTACACGATACCCAGACTTCTCTGCAGAGACAGGTGCCCTGGCAGGATATCTGTCACACCTCAGGGGCATAAAGGGGTTGAAAGTCAAAGGCACCCTTGGGAACCCCCTAAATTGTCATGGCCTGGAACCTGAGGAGCTTAAAAGCTAAATGTAACCTCCTCTGTGTATCTTAGCATTTGGCTGTGGCTGACTTGCCCTGAAATAGGGGAGGCCAAAGCCTAGCACAAAAGACAAGGCGATAAAGGGCTCTCTCTCTCTCATGGAGCACCACACTGTGAGTCAACAATATTTGGGTTCGAGCATGACATGTTCCTTGTCCTGCTATGTAAAGCTACAAACATCTGTGCTCAAATGCATGTCCTCAGCGCTCCAGGCACCTGTCACAAAACAGGGATAAGCCTGATTCCTACTGGATGGCCCTCATGGTGTCTCTGTCAAAGGGGCAGCGTGTCCAGAAGTGGTGGCGTGGGGCAGGAAGAGCCTGGACAGAAAGCCAGGATTGAGGGTGCCGGGACTGTGGGGCTCTGGTGTGGCCACCACCACTGAGGAGCTGTGGGACCTTAGGCAGGTTGGCCTCCCTTTTCTCTGAGCCCCATCTTCACATCTGGAAGTCAAGGATAATAGCACTTGCTTTACCTCCCTCGCAAGGGTTGTTGTGAAGATCAAGTTAAATACCACATCTGTGAAAACACTTTGGAAACTTTCTGACACTCAATGAAAGCCAGGGACTGTTTCTTATCCAAACGCACAGTGAGTACCCCACCTGTTCTAAAGTTCAAAAGGGCAAAGCAAATGGTGTCTCTGTCCCCGACACAAAGCACACACCAGCTGCTGCCCAGCAATGCGTTCTAGATGCTGCCAGGTCTCCCAGAGCGGGAATTCTTTCCACAGCATTGGCCACAGGACAACATGGTGCGGTGTGGAATGACCCCATGGTTGGCCATGGCTATTTTCCTTAGTAGGAGGGTTGACTGGCCCCAGAACTGTGCAGATGCCCTCAATGGGGCAGAGAGAACACAAACTCAGAAGAGGGTCTGGGTTGGCCCTGCTCCAAGGGCAAGAAGACCTGGAATCAAATCTACTTTGTTTCCCACTAAAAGGAACCAAAGGCCAACTCCAGGTCTGGGGTAAGGAATGTACAAAATGGGCCAGGAGTGTCTTCATGTATCAGAAGGCAAAGACACTGTCAAAGACCATTAATGTCATTGTCAAAAGGACTCAGAGCCAACCTGAAGAAGCTCCTACTGGCCAAGATGGGATAATTTGAGTGTCAATAAGAATATAATTTGGTTTCAAGTACACCAAATATGCTTAAATCCATGAATTCTCAATGATACTGCCTTTGTACCCTTGTAAAACAACAACAAAAAAAATCCATTAGCCACTTTGGAGGATGTTGAGAAATAACTTTTTGGTTTTTTTTAACTTATAAATGGATAGGAAAAAACAACCATTTATCCTGTCTTTCCTATATGAACTGCACTCCAGGGCAACCAAACCACAGAGGAGAAAAGTTTCTCTCTGTTGAAGTAGTCTAGCTAAAATAAATGAACAATAGACTAAGACGATAACCATGTGGCCACGCTAATGAACCTAATGAATTCATGGACCTAGGCAATGGTCATCGATGACTGCTAACATCACACAAGGAGAGAGAAGCAGACATACTATGTCCCCTGATATGCCTCAATAGGAAAGACCATGAAGTGGATTTGCCAAAAATTCAAACTTGAATCTGATTAAACCTCTAAGTTAACCTGCCAATTTGCAAAAAAACAAAACAAAACAAAACAAAAAGGGATAGAATGTGCTATGTAACACTGTAAAACCCACAGTGTAGGAAACTATAGAACTATAGGATAAACTACCAGTTTGAATATCTAGTAAATTGTGAAGGAGAAAAACAGGAGAGGGACCTATACACTAAGTAGGACCTGAGAGGCATATCCTTTAGTTGCTGTGTATAGCCCTCATTTGGATGCTGACTCAAACTGAAAAAAAAAAGTATGAGACAATTGGGAAAATGCTGATGTTAATTGGATATTTGATGACACTGAAGAACTAATTTTTAAGTGTGATAATGGTATTATGGTTATGATTTTAAATTTAAGGCTATTAGAACAAGGTATAATAATTATGGAAAGTTAATAGATATGTAAATGTGTTTATAGTAATCATTTCACTATGGATATGTATCAAACACATTTTTAAGGTTATTAGAAATCTATGATTTTTATCTAATATTTTAAAATTCAGCTTTAAAATGTTTATTTTGCAAGAAGCTAAAAAATAAACTCTTGCCTGCAGCCAACAGACCCACTAGGAAACCTAGACTCCCACGGGATTCATTCAACAATTAGTTACAGAACACCTACTATATACCAGGTTCCCTTCTAGACACTGTGCATGCAAAAGTGGCCAAAACTCAACTTCCTTGTTTCCATAAAGCTTATATTATTAGTGACTCTTAACCAACACATGGATAATTCTTGCCAGGTCCCATGCACTGTGCTAAGCACCTAATGTGTATGAATTCATTCTATCCTCACAACAATCCTCTGCGGTAAGTGGAATTATTATCCCCATTTTCCAGATTTAAAAAAACTGTGGAATAGAGAAGTTGAGTCCCTTGCCCAAGGTCACACCGTGAGTGTAGGATTGGAACCCAGAGTCCACACCCCCTTCCTCTCTCCCACCAACACAATCCACCCGAGACTGCCCTGAGTCAAAGGTAAACCCAACTCACTTGCTTTTCCTAAGCGCGTGCTCCACGCTGTGCCCACGGAACTTCTTGTAGTAGTCAATGAAGGAGAAGGGCAGGGTGATGTTCAGGGGGTTAGTTCTGTCTGGGGCAGCTGCTCTTTTGCGAGATTCAAACGCAATCATTAAGTCAACCCAGGCAGCAGGCCGTTTGATTTTGAATTGTTCGATGAAATCCTCTCCAAAGATTTTACACAGAAGTTTTTCAAATTCATAATCTACTCCTAAGGATCCATAGGGTCCGCCTGAGTGGAGAACAAAGTGGGAACCCACGATGTTAAAAACCATCTGAAGCTGAATCCAACCTCTGAGAAACAGGCCTACCCATTGTCCATCTCTGAAGCACAGAGTGAGGCAAACTTGGACCCACTGAGCAAGCAGACTACAGCTCTAAGTTTTCACTTACACTTCAAAACCCTTAGTTTCTTGTCATTCCATATGGAGAAACTTTTTCCTACAGAAATTTCTCTTCAACCATCTGTTGTAAATCAATTACATTTTAAGTAAAGTAAACATTTTTGTCTAATGAGGAGCATTATGGTATTCCCACCCAAGAAATCCAGGGGCAGGGTCTGGAAAATCAGCCTCATCTAGCCCCTGTGTGATCCACTAATCAGCCCCCTCCCCAAAGAGAAAGAGCATGTTCTTTGGGTTGGAGATCTTCATGCAAGACAAGATATCCTGAGACCTCCCTAGAAAGCTGACCTTAGCACTATGTCATAGGCAACATTGAATTACAATCACGTCCTTCCAGAACTTTCAGAAAGCAGGCTTGCTTTATGCCAAAACCCAAGTCGTGGTGGTTTGTGTTGTAAAGAACATCTAATTGCATTTTGCTTTCCAGTTTCAAACAGGCGTTGGTATCCTCTCCCGCCTACGATCCCACATGCTAGTGGCATTGAGAAGGGAACTCTGAGAGAGACCGGAAACAAGTGAAACAGAACTGCCAGGAAATGGCTCAGGTATGAAGAAATTAGCCAACAGCTCACCTGTTGCTTTATACAGTTCCTTAAGGTGTCCCTCCGGTAACCGTATCTGATGGACTGTCAGGTCTACGGTGCCACCGCCACTGTCCACAACCACATACTTGTCACCTGGCACAAAAACAGCCATCTTTTACACAGACTGTGGGTCAACCCCATTTGAAACAAGCTGGTAGGTGATGATTAGGTATGCCCAGCTAAGTGACTAGTACAACGGTTTTGCAGCACGGGGAGTCATTCACGACTACAGAGAATGCAGTCGTATCTGCCCAGGAGGGCGGGTTAGGCATGGATGAGGGAGAACCCAGATGAGGGAATCTTTAGGAGTCACACAGTGCTGCGTACCCGGCACATACTATTGGGCAACTTCCTGCCATGTGAACAGCGCCCTGGAATTACCTGCTGTTTAACACAAGACTTATTCTGGAACTGGTGAGTTCCAAGTCCTACCTTTCTTCCAAAGAGTCCACGTGGTTTTACAACATGCAAAATTATAGCTCCCCAAACAGCTCTCCCTGTGTGAGTGGTCTTTAAAACCCACTGGTTCTGAACGTTTTCCAAAAGTGCAAAAGGGACAAATGGGAATGCTTTTTTGCCAGCAGCACAAAAAGATCCAGCAAGAGCAAAGGACATTGAAGGACGCTACCTTCCTCCAGCTCGGACCAGATTTCTCCTATGACATTCTCCACCAAAAAGGTCCGACTCTGCCGATTACGCCGTATGTGTTCCTTAGCTAGTGGCCGACAGAAAGAAAATGACGACGGGTAAGAAAGCATGAAAAAGCGGACAGTCATCTGCAGTCAGTGGAGGCAATAGCATGAGGAGATTTAGGGATGGAACATTAGTGACACTTGACCAAAATGAGTAAATAAATACAATGTCAGGAAATCACAGAGCCAGATCTTCTGGGAGGAAGTAGCTATTTCCACCGGCCTTCATCTATTCATCCCCTCGGCAGCTTTGGCCTGTGCCCGCCACAAAGCCCACCCTGACAGGAATTCCCTCCTCCCAGTGACATTTTTTGGGGAACAGGTTAATAAAATCGGCCGGTTTCCCAGCTCTGCTGCCCCAGGGAGGAAGCTATCTGCCAAGCTGCCTGCAGTGTGCTCTGGTTTAACAATTTCACATCAAGGAGCCTTGTCTGATTCAAGGAATGCGGGGTATGTTTTCCTAATGTGGATCCCAGATAAGGGCTTGGGGGCCATTTCCTGACCCTGTTGAGGCCGATACGCGCGTCCGCCACAAGGTGGCGCGTCGCCACAAGCTCCGCACTCTGCAAAGCCCGCCCCGCTCTCTGCACGAACACGGAGGGACAACCTCTGCTTCCGTCCACAGCTCCGGCCCCGGCGTGGGGTACTGAGTGGCCGGGACGCCTGGGAGGCGGACAGGGCACAAATCACTGTCCTTCTGTTCAGGAGGAAACCAGGTCAGGCGAGGTTAAGGGACTTGCAGTTCCCACGACTCTTGCCTCCTAGCCTGAAATCAACCCTAGGACCACAGACCCTCAGGCCTCTGAGATTTAACAGGTCACAGGGAGGTACGACAGAGCAGCATTGTGGAATGTTTAGACGTGAGAAAGGTGCTGCGAGGGGTACCTGGGGAGGAGCAGGACACAGCCACGGTGGGAGTTCTGGCAAATCACTTAACCCCTCTGGGCCTGTTTCCTCACCCATAAGACAGAACAATAATAGTTGGCCTAAGTCCCTGGCGGGCAGAGCAGGGACTGGTTCTCCAATGTTTCCCCAGGGTGACAGCCAGCACATAGTGGGTGAGAACGCAGACAAAGCACCCAATAGGAGGCCTGACAGATGAGACTACTGTGAGTGACAGAGCAGCCCTGATGCTACAGGGGTAGGCCCTGCTGTCCCTGCGCCCTGCCCTCCCCTACCTCACACCTTGCTCCCGTTTTGGTCCCTAAGCTGGTGCTGCTGATTTTGAATTGCCCTACAAACCCCTCTGTTGCTGACTGTCCAATAAAGCACCTTTGACCTGCTAGTCTCATGCAGCAAAGAACGCAGTGTTTACAAAACATTCTTCTCTGGGAATTGGAATGGCAAACAGCCACCAGCTCTGAGTTCTTCAGGGCCTGGTTCACAGTGAAGAGGGAGGTGTCTCCCAATTAAAGAGTTCCTGCAGGCCTGGGAGGCCTCCCCCAAATTCTGGGCCTCTCTTCTGTTCTCAGCACTGGCACCAAATGAACTTGGGACAGACCTCATAATGGGCATTTGGTTTTCTAAAACCATCTGGATGGCTAACGAAAAAATGGCATTCATAAAACACGGTGGCGAGAGGCTAATAAAATTTGTACTGAGCTCTCAACAAATGAGCCCATGTTTCAGGCAAATTAAGCCCAAGATTGTGAAAAATGTATCCTTTATTGATCACATTCAACCCTTTAGAAGTAAAATAATCGTGATGGCAAAACTTGTGCTGGCACCAGCTCCATCGCTCCCCAGCGGCGTCCTCTGGGCCTTGATAACAAAGGCCCATCCGAGCCACCTCAGGTGCTCCTGATTAAGTGCTCTGCCAGGCTCGCCCCAGACAGCCCCCGCCTCCTGATGGGAGGGATGTTCTCGTTGTGAAGTGAGGCTGACACCAGAGCCCCTGCCTCTCTGCCCCTCGGAGGCATGGTGGCCAACAGTTCGAGGATTTCAAAATCCGAAAAGACCCTCTGAGCACACGGAGACAGCAGCAAATTCCACGAGTCACAGGACACAGACACAGAGCAGTGTAGGGGCAGATATGATGTGTCACAGGAAAGGACACCAAACACTGAGCTCTCAGGGAAGGCAATCATTCGAAAACAGATCCCCCTCCCCTCCAAATGTGAGCGGTGTATCTGCAAACAGTTGAAAAGAGCTATGCTAGAATTAGCTGATTCTGACATGAACTTCTGTTTATGAACAACTAAGAATCAGTACGTAAGGTAGAAACCCAATCATTCCTCTTTTTCCCAATGGAAACAGTGAAGACAGAAATTTAAATAAATATCATGCTGAGTATTTAAAACATCAGTGCCTCTGTTAGCAGTGAGGCTAGCTTGGGGAGGACGAGCATGGGTAGAAAAGGGCTAATCAAGCCCTCAGATTTCAAGGGAAACCTGGTTTCATTCATTCCAGGTAAATCTGATCTAAGGCACTAACAGCCACTGGCAGGCAGAGGCAGCCGCCAGGTGACAAGGGAATCTTTTCTAGCCCCACTGCCTGGGGGCTAAGGTTCACAGACTCCTAAATCTTAGGATTAAAATGCAGAGAGGTGACCTCTGGGGCAGAGTGGCCCCTGTGAAAAGGAGGAGGAGAAACCTGCCTGGAGGAGACGGCCCGGTACCCTCTGGGCAAGGATGTACACCTGCTCAGGGTGAGCCTGGCCCAGTGCCTCGCCAGTGCAGAGACAGGCTCTGGGCATGAGGACCAAAGAAAACTTTCGGAACAAACTGTGGCAGGGACAACTTGGCAACAGTTTTCACTGATGTCTTCCCTCTCTTCTTCCTAGGCCTGCCTTCCAGGGGGCCATGGGTGACAGGTGGGTGTTTACCCTCAGGGCCTCCACCTGGGAACAGAACGTGGAGCACAGACAGCACCCAGGGCTGCGGTGCCCGGCGCCACCCGGACAGCACTCCCATCCGCGCCCATGCCCACGTGGGTGCTTTGACCCTGACCTACTGTGTCTGTAAACCCTATAGCCCTGGACAGACCCACAGAGCCCTGGATACTGGGGAACCAAGTTCTGTGACCAAGACTGTGATGAGCTTGCATGCAGGTAACTACTTAAGAGGAAAAGCTCTTTAAAGTCCTCATCCTGGGTCTCCCTACACAGTGCCCCTCCCACAGCTAAATGAGCATCACCCGGGTCAGGAAAAGTCAGCCCGGTTCATCTGCATTTTCAGCTCTCAGCTAAAACACACAATGAGCTCATCACACATGAAGTGGCCCCAATGAGTGAGTCAGCAATAAATCAACAGTCTTAATGGAAGAATTAATAACAGGCGAATGGGATTAGATTAAGAATCAGTTAATAGACAGGAAAGATTAAGAGCCTAGTAAAATTCAAGGCTAAGAACTGCTCTCAGGCTACCCCCTCAGGTCCTTGGAGAGAAGTCTCCTGAAGGCCGTTCCCCCCACCCCCAGGCACTTGGTGGGTGATGAACCAGGGTAACATTGCTTAGTTTATGGGTCCCCTGGGGGCCAGGCATGGGGGCTGAGCACAGAGGTGCTGAAAGCCAACCTCTTCCTGCAGTATCTTGACTCTTCATTACAGCACCAATTGCCTTTCAAGTCATCAGAGGCGGAGAGACACCCAGGGGTCAGGTGGGGGAGGGAGCAGGAGCGGAGAGAGAGAGCAGAGGTACCCTGTGCAAACCCAGCTCCTACTGTGTCCCTGCCGCTGTACCCATTGACGGCCGTCTTGCCACTCAGCTCGATCATCTGGTGCAGCCGCAGCTTCCGGCAGTAGATGGAGGCCGCCTCGGGCTCCAAGGCAATGATGAGCTGGTCCGAGTTCTCCGGGGAGGCCAGGCCTGCCTGGAAGACAAAAGCAGAGGCTGGGACCCGGGGCTCCCGGGCAGGTCTGCTCAGAGGACACCCACGCCTGGACTACCATCCATAAGGAGGGGCACACGCAGGCTCTGCTTTGGTGGGACATTCCCTACACAGTCCTCAGCAGAACTTGACGTCAGGGATGCTTGGGCCCCAAGCCAGGAACCCAAACATCTCAGGGTGGCCAAAGAAAATGTACAAGGACCCTTGGGAAATGCCAGGCTCTCCGGCCATGGGGCCTCTTGCACTTGGGGCTTGCTTGGCCCAGAACTGAGAGGCATGAGGGGGCAAGGAGAACATGGACTGTGGGGTCCAGATGGGGTTCAACACTTGAGTGGTGGAGGGACAGAGTTGCAAAGGCCCCAAAACTTTCCATTACAGGATGGAAGGCAGATGATCTGTCCCCAGTTACAATGGGCCACACACGGCCTGACCAAGTCGGAGCCAACCCCAATCTCTTGTGGCCTTGGAAACAAATGGGTGCCCGCCGGAGCTCAGCTAGACAGCATTTGATTTTGCTGTATGGGAATCTGACCTGCTCTCTCCAGAGCTCTAAGAGGGCTATCTGCCTGCTGGGAGTGATGTATGAACAGCAACTCCAGGAGGAAGCCACTCGTGGAATCCCATGTAGTCCCTTTTCTACAGTGTGGGTTGAAATTCAGCCAGGAGGTATCTTATTCAAAGCCTTTACCCTTTAATAGTTTCTAGTATACATGTTCTATCACATATAATAATAAATATCCCTTTAACAATCCAGTCCCCAAGTGCCCATCTCTGGCTTCCATCTACAAACATTTGGGACCTTGACCTGCAGCAGGCAGAATGCTCTGTGACATCTGATGTGTCCCAGGCACAGCCCATCTGGGCCTGGAGAAGGGTCAGCCCAGGAGGCCCAGGGACCACCTTCTGAGGATGCTCAGCTAAACAAGCTTGACCTGGCTTGACCTCTAACCAGGCCCTGCCCTCCTCCCATGCTCTTGAGCTGGAGCAGGTCTCATGTCTCACTTGCTTCTGGGAGCTACGCAGGTGCACGGGGTTTCCTTGGTCACCAGCACAAGGGAAGACAGAAGCACACTTCACTCCTGCCACCAGTGTGCTTGCTGGGGTTTTTTTGCCACTTCTTGGAGAATCTTGGGATGCTGCCTTCGTGCCCCTTCTTTGGGAGGAGTCCCCCATCCAAGTTCTATACCAGACCCTTGATGTTCAGTGATTCTTCCTGTAGACCAGGTACAGAAGGTCTTCTAATGTCACATACACACAACCTCTCACCGAAGGAGCCAGCCTAGAGTCCTAGGCAGAGGGGCTTAGGAGGCCTGATCATTGGGCAAGGAGGGGAGAGGGATTCAGTCTGGCATATTAGGAATGGAAAGGACCCTCAGGGCCCTTTGTCTCACTCCTTCACTTTATGTAGGAAGACACCAAGGCCCAGAGAGGTAGGGTGACCCACTGTCCCGGTTTGCCCAGGATAGAGGGATTTCCTGGGATGTAAGCCATTCAGTGCCAAAACCAGCACAGTCTTGTTCAAGGTACCCAACCACTATGGGGCAAAGCTCAGGTCTCTCTCATTCACTCCCGGCTCTCCTGCTCTTAGCAACTCCAGTCGCTGGGGCTGGGCCCAGGCTGTGGCAAACAAGTTTCATCGCTCCTCTACCCACATCTTCCCTGAAGCTCTGAGCGGGAACTCTGACATACACGGGGAATCTTTACATGGAAAATCCAATCAAGAAGTCCAGGGGAGTGGAGAGCCTTGAGTAAAATTCTGTGACTCGCGGGTGTCCAAGTGCCTGGTGTGTGACTGCCAATCCAGCAAAACAGTCACACACACACACCCCGCCGGGCGCTCCCACATCCTGAGCTGGCTGTGTAAGAAACACTCAAGCTGACCAGAGTCTGCCCCCGACAGCTTCGTCTGTCCCTCCCCAGCTGGGCTGGCCTGGCCCGAAGCCAAAGCTTTACTGTTTCTAATTTCCATAGGAGGTTCCCGCTGTCCCAGGAGAGGATGCAAGTGAGGAGTGGGGGTGAGGAGGGCCCCACTCCAGAGGGGAGGAGAAGGCAAAGTCAGAGAGGGGCCCGGCAGTGTCTGGGAGGCCCGGGACAAAGCACCAGCAAGAGCGCAGGGCCGTGTCCCACCAGCAAACTCCCACGGAGCCCACAGAGCAGAGCTGACCTCCCGAAGAGAAGTCCCAGAGCTGCTGTGGACTCCAAGAAAAGGAGGAAATGCTAAAAAGTGGCCCAGACTCCCCAAACCCAGACGTCTCTATGCCTTGGCTGGAGGACCCGGTGCCCGGAAGTGCCGCCTTTGCTTCTGCATGAACACTTGCGGTCACCCTCGACAGGAGCCCTCTGCCTGGCAGCCGTCAGGAGACCCGTGGGGCCATTTGCCTGGGATCAGGCCAGAGGCAACTGGAGCAGAAGAACATTCTCTCCGCCTTTACTACTTCTGCCTTCGGAGCTGGCACCTCACAGCTCCTATTCCGATGTGAGCTCTCCCTCCTCTGGGCCCCTGCGGGGCACCTAACATGTTCTGTCTCCAACTTCACAGACAGTGCAGACATGTGTGGCCTCCCCTTGCAAGACGGTATGTTTTCTAGGTGCAGCCATTGGGCCTCTTTGCCCCTAGCACGTAGGAGGTGCTCGGGAGACAGCGGCTGAGCGAGCGAGCCCGGCATTCCTCCGGCGGCCTTATCCTGCAGTTTCCTGGCCCGTGTCCCTGCTGAACTGAACGCTAGCATTCCGCAGATGTGGCCTGGGAATTCTACAAAGAGAGAGTGTCTGAACCACGAGCATGCTACCCTATTTGACACACACGCACACACAAGAATCTGAGCAGCAGGAGAACCATCGTAGTAGCTTTTTGGAGCCTTCCTCTGTGATCGCAGCTCCAGGCAGGAGAAGCAGGTGAGAAAACCACACTCAGGGAGCCCGAGGAAGTGAGGAAGTGGTGTTTACCCGACTGCTCTGCTCCTTAGCCCTGCAGCCAGCCAGGAAGATCTGCCAAGGGACTGTGTCCACAGCTGAGAACAAATGGCCAGGCCAGTTAAGTGCTCTGCTGGCCGGGCGTCAGCCTGCAAAGGGGCCACAGCTGCGCCACTTCTGGGGTTGTGCAGCGTTTCCTGGTGGTCATTTTTCACTGCAGCTTGTTCGGAAAGGGAGGCAAATGCTAGCTGCGTCTCCATGTGAGATGAGATCATCATACATATGGGAGCATCATGGATTTAACAGGTTTCTGGAACCTACCAGAGTTGCACATTTTAGGCAAAATGCCTTTAGAAATAAACTGCACTATGTCCTTCCTACCCACGATTCCCCCACCCCAGACTCAGTGGAACTATCTTCCAGTGCTAGGACTTCTCTGAAGACCTTAGAAGAGGGATCAGGTGTTCTTTCTGCTACCATCTTTCCACTGAACGCTCTTAAAGGGCCTGAAGGTGCCCTGAGTCTGTGAATTGTAAAAGATAGAGATTTAACCCCTTTCTTCAACAGCACTTGGCACAAGATGAGTTTGGGGAGTTTCACAGGGGAAACTGTCTACCCTGTCTATCCTTCTGTCTACCCTGCTTTGCAGCCCTTGTGGTCAGCGAGTCATAGACTGTCTGAGCGGAGGCCCCAGAACTCCAGACCCGCTCCTCATGACGGAAGATGCCACCCAGAGCATCAGCTCCCAGCCCGGCTTCCAAGCCTCTTTCACCTCCACCTGGCAGGTGGGAGGCTGAATGTCAGCCCCCACGTGACTATGCCACAAACTTGTGCTCAGGAGGCCTCTGCTAAGCCTGGGAGGAGGGCTCAGTTTTTCCCATGCAAACAGAGTGGATGTGACCAGTTTCTCAACTGCCCCGATGATGTAAGACCACCCATTCTACCTCATTCTTCCCGCTCTTCTCCCTGAAGTCAGCCAATGGGACGCACTTTGGGTGGCAGGGTCGGTGGGCAGCCACCACCTTGTAGAAGCAAACAAATACCCACCTGATCAAACGCCTTTTACACAGATGGATGCCTGGTGAGCATGCTCAGAGCTACTGGGCTGAGAGCTATATTTTGTGGTCAGGTACTGTATTGGTCAGGGTTCCCCAAGAAACAGAACCAATAGAGATCTCTCCCTTCCTCTTTCTTTCTTTCTTTCTTTCTTTCTTTCTTTCTTTCTTTCTTTCTTTCTTTCTTTTCTTTTCTTTTCTTTTCTTACCCTCCCTCCCTCCCTCCCCCACCTCTCTCTCTGTCTCTCTCTCTATTATAAGGACTTGGCTTGTGCAATGATGGAGACTGACAAATCCCAAGATCTGCAGTCAGCAGGCTGGAGACTCAGGAGACCTGATGGTACAATTCCTGTCAAAAGCAGGCAGGCTGCAGACCCAGGAAGAGCCAATGTTGTTCGAGTCTGAAGGCAGGAGAAAAATAACAATGTCCCATCTCAAAGGCAGTCTATAGGGAGAATTCCCTTTTTCAGGGGAAGATCAGCCTTTTGCTCTATTCGGGCTTCAACCGATGGGTTCAGGCCCACCCTTGTCAGGGAGGGCAATCTGCTGTACCCAATCTATCTACTTAAATGTTCAACTCATCCAAAAATACCCTCACAGGAACACCTAGAATAATGTTTGACCATATATCTGGGTACTCGATGGCCCAGTCAAGTTGACATGTAAAATTAACCATCACAGGTACATATCTTTTTTATTCAGTGTAATAATAAGGGGTGGGGAGGGAGAGTGGAGAGATGTTAATTTGGGCCACAGAGTCACAAGCTTCATTTCAACTCCATCCTAGGACTCTTCTAGAAGACAGGCTGAAGAGACTACAGAGAAGTCCACAAAGCAACTGTGCCACTAATATACCCCTGTCCCTAACCCAGAAGTATGAAAGGCTTCAGTGAACCACCCCCTCAGCTGTGAGCAGCCCAAGAGCGGGGCCCTGCCTTGGTCAGGTATAGAACCCACTGCCTACTACAGTCCTGGCACACAGAAAGCCGCCAGTATAGGTTTGTTCAATGAATGAATGAATGAACAAAGGATAGCTGAATGGTTGCTGCCATTTTTAAATCCAATTACTGTTTTTTTCTTTGTGTTTTTTTTTGTTTTGAGACAGAGTCTCACTTTTTTGGCTAGGCTAGAGTGAGTGCCGTGGGCGTCAGCCTAGCTCACAGCAACCTCAATCTCCTGGGCTCAAGTGATCCTACTGCCTCAGCCTCCCAAGTAGCTAGGACTACAGACATGCACCACCATGCCTGGCTAATTTTTTCTATATATCTTTAGTTGGCCAATTAATTTCTTTCTATTTTAGTAGAGATGGGGTCCTGCTCTTGCTCAGGCTGGTTTTGAACTCCTGACCTTGAGCGATCTGCTCACCTCGGCCTCCCAGAGTGCTAGAACTATAGGCCTGAGCCACTGCACCTGGCCAAAATCCACTCACTCACTGTTAATGTAACACAAGTGTCAAATCAGAATTACAAAGCATCAAAAGTTAAGCTGCAGAAACACTGTACCCAAGTTACCCAGCATGAAAAAGACAGTCCCTGTCTGCAGTGTTGTCTGTGGGCTTCGGAAGGCAAATTCCCCACGTCCATACCTCCTCTGCCTGGTTCCCTGCTCAGACCGCCTAGTGTGAGGGGCCCACCCCTCCTATCCCACCGGCTCAGGGAGACAGTCCTTGCAGGAGCCAGCCTGGGGCTCCAACAGCCTTGACAAATGTACTAGTCTCTGCACCTCTTTCCTTTTCAGGCTAAAAATAAGAATTGACCCTTCTACAGGTCACGCCTTTGTTGCTGAGGTCTTCCTGTGGGCGGGGAAAGGAAAGTCCAAACCATGAACCTTGAATATCCTCCCTGGGAAACACGCAGGACGCTGGGCAGCGTCTCCTGGGCAGCCCTGTCCCGTCTGTGGACACGGCCTGGAGGCTGACGCTACAGAAAGGCTCCGCGATGCCCAGGGCTTCCGTGAACGGCTACGCTGCATTTTCTTTCCTTCCTTTTTAAAAGAACTTGCCTCTTTCTGGAACTTCCACCCTCTTCCTTCGTCCTCACAAAAACAAATCTATTTTTGGCAGATGCATCCACTGAGCTGGATTCTCACGCTGCGCAGAGGAAGGGGAGAGCAGGGGAAACTGCCCGGGAAGGGGAGAATGGGGGGAGGGGACACCCCACCCTTGACCGTGCGCCGGCTGCACTCTGTGGGCAGCGAGGAGTCAGGCCCGAGTGAGCGCGGAATAAATTCACGACATGAAGTTTCCCGGGGCCATTTTACTATACTCTGGAGCTCAAGGCTGTTTCCATGGGTGTTTGGCTCACACATGTAACCACACACTCAACATCGGAGCGGTGCCCCTGGGAAAGGTGGACAGGACGCCTCCTGAGAGGGGTGGCAGGGACAAGGGGACAGCTATTACCTTGGTGACTTGCCACAGCCCAGCCTCAGGTGAAAACTCAGAAAACTGACTCTCAACACACGGGGGGTGGGGGGGACCCAGGCCCCAGGGGTGGGTTTTCATAAACCCAGGGCTTTAAGCACAGCAGGAGCCAGCTCTGGCCTGGGGACCAGAACAGCAGTGAGCACGGCCAGCCCTTCCTGCCTTGAAGTTAGGCCTTCACGGAAGCCCGTGCTGGCACAAGTGGTCTGCAAACAGCACGTGAGAGCTGGAGGCCCTGAGGGTGTGTGGAGAGATGTCATTTTGGGCAACAGAGTCCACAGTGGAAACATGACCTGGAAGCGTACAAAGCCAGGAAGAGAACCGAGCCCAGCTCTGTCGTTTGCTGGACTGGGCCCTGTTTCTCCCCCAGGAGGAAGCTGAGGGATGAGAAGGATCCTTGGCCCCCAGCCCCTCCTCGCTGCCTCCTGAGGCGGCCTGTGAATGCTGGGAGGTACCTAAGCTGGGCTCAGTCCCCACCGAGAGTGTCCTTGTCCTCTGGCCCATGCCTGCCCTGCCCCCTGCCCTCACCTGGTAGGCAGCTTGTCTCATGAACTGCTTGGCGGGCTGTTTCCAGATGGCAGGCACCGTGATCACCCATCTGACATCAGAGTTCTCGAACTCCGAACCTGCCTGGTCACTCAGCTCCTGAAGCCAAAGAAAATAAACAACGAGGTCAAGTGGCACCACCATTTGCGAGGGCCTGCCTCCTGTGGCTTCGCCAAGAACCCAGGCTTCCTGCTGCAAGTTCCTGGGGTGTCTGTTCCCCAGCCTCCTGAACTTACCAGCGTCAGGGAGCAAGAATCTGCTTTCTGAAAATTTAGCAAGCAGGGAGATCTAGCTCCTTTCACTCACTAACTAACCGTGGGCAGGAGAGAGGCAAATCAGAGGCAAATCCCTTCAGCCACTTCCTACTCATGTGACTTTGAACAAGTGATGACATCTCAGGCCTCAGTTTCCATATCTATACAATGGGAATAATAATACCTAGCTCATGAGGTTGTTGAGAGGGTTGCTAATTTACTGAGAGCTTGTGTGTTGACCACCTTATTAAGTACTTTGTTTACCCTGTCTCTATGAACCCATTGAAGAATCCTGTTAGGAAGGGATCATAATCCTGCCCATTTTCTACAGATGGGAATACTGAGACTTAGATATCTCTTTTGACCGTCATGCAGCTAGAGAGTGGCAGAGCCAAAATTTACACTCACACTCAGGTCTATCTTGACTCTAAAGGCCAAAGTCTTAACTAAACTGTTACTTGTGGTCTCATATCTAGAACAGTGCCTAGCCCACAGTAATGCTTAACAACTGGTGGCAGTTGTAGCCATAGTTGTCATCAGAGTCATCTACCTTATGCAAGCCCAGCATATGGGGGGGGGGAGGTTCTGCCAGAAAGGGAAGAATATGGACATGAACTAACCAAGAACCATGCTGCCCTTAATTTTGGGTTAATGTTAAACCACATCGGTAGAACCCATGTGGAAAATGGGATGGGCAGGAGCATCAGAGGTTTCTACTGGATCCATGTAGACAAAATTATGTTGCTGGACTAGTTCTCGGACTCAGTGTTCCTATCTGTAAAATGGGGACAATAAAACTAGCATTATTGGCAAGATTAAATGAAAATGCACGAGGAATGTCTGGCCCAAAGATCTCTGGGCTTTCTAGCGCAGGTGAGCGGGGTAAAGGGAAGGCTCCTAAGCGCAATGCCAATTACCAGGCAACCGACTGTAAACTCTTTAAAAGGAAACAGGCTCAAAACATGAAGGACAAATGACGGGCTTCCCTGGGCTGTCCGGAGGGTTTGGAGAAGCTGTCTGTCCCCCAGTGTGTAGGGAACAGCTTGGAAGGGAAAGGCGCTGACACTATCTGTCTCGTGTATCCGGCACTTTCACTGACTGTCCTTCACTAATGGCTGGGCCACTTCATTTCCGTGACTGCTCAGACGTTCCACTCGAGTGGACGTTCTGCCTGTGCCTATTCTTGTCAAATGCGCAGTAACCTCCACCCTCTGAACCTGCTGGCCCCTCAACTACCAGCCAGCACCCCGTGAAGTGCTAGTTCCCACCCGTTGCCTCACATAGCTCTTTCTCCTGGAATTTATTCGTGGCATGTGCCCTGCTGGGAGGAGCTGGAAGGTGCTAGAAGGTTACCTGGAGCCTCTCTGGCTGAGCTGAGCTCACAAACAATCACCCATGCCCCTGCTTGACCTTTGGGGCCATTCCCTCCACCTCCCCCCTCCCCTTCTGCACTCCTTTCCTGCTGGCAAACTTGAAACACACGCCAATGTCATGGACTCTCTCCAGTCCTCAATGTTCCCGAGTGCCCATGGCTCCTCCACACTCTCATGTGGCCTCCTGGGCCCCCAGGTACTGGCCCTGACCCTCTGTGACATTTGATCTTTGGTCCTCGGCTGACATAGGCCCACCTCAGCGTGCTCCTCCTCTTCTGCTTCTCCACCGCCTGGATGACGGGCCCAACCCTCCCCAGCTCCCGGCGCGCCTCCCAGGGCTCGTGCCTTCAGCTGGTGCCACCTTCCCGAACACATGCCAGCCCTGCTCTGCCCCTAGGACCCTCTCCTTCCCCTTTCTGGGGGCACGATGCTCTCCAGAACCCACTTCTTCCCATCCCAGCCACTCTTTCTCCTTGGTAGTCGTGATCCTTGTTCATGTTCCCCGAATGACCCCCTGGCCCTCCGAGGCTCAGGGCCCCCCTTTCGCCCTTCAGACACAGCCTCAGGATCCGAGTCTGGTGGCTCCACGTGGCTCTCCCCCACCCTGCAGGCTCTCGGGACCGCTGGGGTCTCCCGCTCTGCACTCCGGTCTGAATTCAGGTGTTGGAAACACTCCCCTGAGCAACAGTGTCGGGAGGCGTTTAGGTCATGAACGCCCTGCCCTGGTAAACGGATTGACGCTGCTCTGAAAAGGGCTGACAGGCGTGAGCTCGCTCTCTTTCATTCCTCTCCCATGTGCGGAACAGCGCTCCTCCCCCCCCACCTCCCAGAGGACTCGGCGTTCAAGGCTCCATCTTGGAAGCAAAGACCAGGCCCTCAACAGACACCAAACCTGCTGGCACCTTGATCTTGGACTTCCCAGCCTCCAGAACGGTGAGACATAAATTTCTGTTCTTTATCTATAAAGATACCCAGGCTGTGGTATTCCATGACAGCAGCACAAACGGACTATGACACTCCAATACTGCCCCAGTAGCCACGTCATTCCCCCACCAGAAATCCTTTGATGGCCCCCATTCCCCAAGAAGAAGTGCCTATGCGTGGCATCCGTGGCTCTGTATGGTCCTGTCCTGAGCTCGGTGTTCTGGCTCTACCCGCAGCCTTGCCCTTCTTCCACCCACACTTTCTCCCCACAGCTGTTTGCTGTGCCCTCTTTCCCCGGAGCTGATCTTGTGCCATTCTGTTCCACCAGCTTGAAACGCCCGCCCTTCTAGCTGCTGCCTGGGGGCCCCCCACCCCCATCCGCTCCTCCAGGGAGCCTCCCCTGATGCGCCCCACGGGACAGAATCTCTGCCTCCACCGACACCCACAGTCCCCTCGCCCGGACCCTGACCTCGCACTCCTGCAGACCGCGTTGAATTCTACACGGCCGAGCTCATTTAGGACCTGGCACATCAAAGATACTCAAAAAAAAAAACAAAACAAAAAAAGGTACTCGAATGGACGAAAGTAGTCTGGCTCTATTTCTAGAATTCACTACATTCCTCCCAGTAGTCACATAATACCAAATGCTTCTGAAGTGCCCAGTTCTTCCTGGATAGAGCTCCACGCGTCACCCGATTCCCACCCACTCGTCCCCATGCCTGTGGGCGGCCGCACAGAGTGGACAGCTGGATCCCACTTTGAGATCAGCAGTTTTCGGTGCTCTGGGCGGTCATGATCACAAAGCTTTGCAAGGACCATCCACGGGGGCTCCCACCACCAGCCTCTCCCATGGGGTCTGCTGGGGCACAGAGGAGGAGGAAGAGGAGGAGGAGAAACCGCAGCCGCCATTTCCCAAGCGGTTACCTGGTGAGGGAGGCACTGCGTGTCCAGTACTTCACTTAATAGCCAAGGACCCACAAGGTGCAGTTCCCCACCCTACTCTTCATGTTAGGAAAGTGGCCATGGCAGAGATTAAGTATCCTGCCCGAGATTGTAAAGCTGTGAAGTATGTTTCCTGGTTTTTTGGTTTTTTTTACTGTGTTATAACTCACATACCATCAAATTCACCCTTTAAAGTGTACAGTTCAGTGGGTTTTAGTATATTCACAAGGTCGTGCGACCAACCCCACTAATTTCTTCATCCCCAGAAGAAGCCCATACCTGTCAGCAGCCAACTCTCATCCTCACTCCCGAAGCCCCTGGCACTGCTGCCCTGCTTTCTGTCTCTAGGGGTTTGCCTGGTCTGGACATTTCACACAAATAGAACCTATAAAATGTAGCTTGTTATGTCTGGCTTGTTCCTTCATGTGGCATTTTCACGGTTTAGCCATGGGGTGGTATGCATCAGTACTTGTAGCTGAATAATAAATATTGCTCTGCATGGATAGACCATGGTTGTTTTTTAGCTTTTTGGTTTTTTTTTTTTTTTTTTTTTTTTTTTTTTTTTTTTTTTTTTTTTTTTTTTTTTGAGACAGAGTCTCACCCTGTTTCCTGGGCTAGAGTCAGCCTAGCTCACAGCAACTTCAAACTCCTGGGCTCAAGCGATCCTCCTGCCTCAGCCTCCCGAGTGGCCGGGACTACAGGCATGCGCCACCATGCCCAGCTAAGTTTTTCTCTATACTTTTAGTTGTCCAGCTAATTTCTTTCTGTTTTTAGTAGAGATGGGGCCTCACGCTTGCTCAGTGTGGTGTCGAGCTCCTGAGCTCAAGGGATCCTCCTGCCTCGGCCTCTCAGAGTGTTAGGATTACAGGCGTGAGCCACTGCGCCCGGCCTAGACCACGTTTTGTTTATCCATTCCTCCGAGGATAGACATGTGGGTTGTTTCCACTTTTTGTCGTGATGAATAATGTTGCTATGCACACTGCATGTGTTTGTGTGGAGGTGTTTTCATTCCATGTGGGCATATACCTAGCAGTGGAATTACTGGGTCATATGGTAACTCTGTGCTTAACTTTTTGAGAAATTGCCAAACTGTTTTCCAAAGCAGCGACGCCCTTTTGCATTCCCACCAGCAGCACGTGAGGGCCCACCCTGCCGTTCTGACTGCAAGCCCACGCTTTCCCCCGCTCTCCCCCTCCCGGCTGCAGCTCCCACCCTCATAGGCAGGTGGAGCACCCCAGGGATGGAGCTGGCACGGGTGCCACCGCCTAACACAGCTGCCTGGCCTCTGTCATCGGTCCTACCTTCAGCGCCTGCTCCTTAAAGTACTGCAGGGCATAAGCAAAGATTTCAAGAGCTTTGACTTTCTTGCTGTTTGCTGCCGTCAGGTCTGTATCCATGGTGAGGTCCTGGCAGGGGGAAGAGGAACAAGACGGTAAGACGGCGACACAGGAGAAACATGTCTTCTGACTCTGGGGACTGCTTACTTGGAGATGTGGAGAATCAGTGAGCCATGTCTGTGTCTCCCGTGCTTGAGGAGGCAGGCTAGGATGGAGTGTGCCCCAGAAGGGGGCCTGGCAGCACTGTCCCTTTACTGTGTAGGAGGCCCTGGCTGTTCCCCCCAGGCCCCATCTGTACCGCTCCCTCCTCCCTTCCCCCCTCTCTCTTCTGGATCCTCTGTGAGCAGAGGTTTCGGGGCGGCACAGGTCAGGAACAGAAAACAGGCGGCAGGCACCACTCCCGATGCGATTTACACGCCATTTCCACATTTGGACACACGCGGTCACACTCAGGAGCCCCCCTGGTAGAGAGAGGCCTAGATTGTGCCAGCTCACCGGCAGGCATGATGCTAAACAGACATGAAGCTTTCACTCCCTGATAAGCTGCCAACCAAGTCACCAAAATAGAAGAGCTCCTATTTTAAGGCCTGCCCTGTCTAATCCGCTGGGAGCCCGGCATCGCTGCCTTCCTTCCTCCGCCAGAAGCTAAAGCAGACGCTCAGTGTGGTCCTCGGGCAGAGGATGCTCTGCAGAGCCCGGAGGCTGGGTGGACAGAGGTCATTAACAAATGATGAGAAAAGTCCCTCTGGAGTAGGGGCAGCGATGGGCAGAGAGCAAAACTCAGAAGGAAGCCCCCAAGTCTCTGAGCCACAAGCTCTTACTGCCAGGGGAAAAAAAAAATCAGCGTGGCCCCCAGATTGATTCAGGCTGGGTAATTATGCCTTTGGAGGAAGAAGGGGCGTTGAGTCACTAACCCGGCCACGTGGAGCCTGTGGATGGTGTCCTGACCTATCTGCGCTTGCTCGCCCCTCCCAGCCAGCCACCTCCTGCTCCCGATGCTCAGCAAAGACACCGCAGCTCTGGGGCGGCGGCCCCCAGGCTCGGAAATGTGACCGAGCACCAGAAAGCCATGACTCTGAATTTAAAAAATTAAATTGAAAAAATTCCTGTGGGTCCATGAGCCATCCTGATACTGAGCACTGAATCCCATCAGGTGACACGGGAACAGACCACACCCCCCAGAGGTTGCGCTGCATCACAGAAAGACAACCACAGCAATAGACGAGCCTTGGAGAGCAGGGCGCTGGCCGCTGAGTTTCCCATTAACATTTGTTTTGTCATCTGCAAACGCTTAGATGACAAATGACAGCAATTATAATAGGAGCGAGCGCTTGACTAGAACTTACTAGGCACCAGGCGTGGCTCTGAGACCTTTGTGTATCTTGATTCCTTTAATCCTTAGTATCCCCATGAAGAAGGCACTGTCTTTGTCTCCATTTTACAGAGATGATAAAGCAAGGCACAGAGGGGTTAAGTAACTTGGACTAACCATCTGGCTTCAGAGTCTGTGGTCTTAAATGTTATCACCATCCTGCCTTTCTAAGTACTGAGAGTTAAGGAAAAATTTCTGAGATAAAATGCTTACATGGAAAAAATTCTATCCTATTCCCCAACCTTTTCTATGAACTTCAGGGAGGGGGATGTCGATTTGACTTACAGGACGCCGGCTTGCTGGGAGCCGAACTGAGGCCACCACTCCGGGAGTTGGACCTCCACTTACTGAGCCCTTGATGTCCTGAGCTCCCCATCCCCACGGCTGTGACTTCCAAAGTGGTTTGTTAACAGCCACTGCCCTGAGCCCCCCAGATGCCCTGAGCCCCCACATGGCTCCTTCACGATGGCCGGATCTCCCAACAACCTGGCGACTGAAGCAGCAACTCCTGGCCCGGCAGAGGCCCCAGCACCCTATGCCCCTGCCCCAGTGAGGGCCCACTCTGATTGGTCAGTTTCCAAGACAAACAAGTCATTAAATATTCTGAACCTCTGTCTCCCTGCCCACATGTACATCAGAACGCAGTGCATAGTCCCAAAAAGGGTTATGTTTTCCAGGATGTTTCTAAAATCAAGGTAAGTGGAATTCATCTCTGCTTGGGAGAAATCTGAGGGCCCCTTGGGTGGGAAAGACACCCCTCCCCACCCAAGGCTGGGGGGACCCTGGCTCTACAATGCGGAGGACTTGGGGCCAGGGCAGAGGCTCACTCACCCCCGTAGTGTGCAGCTTCATCTTGAACTTCTCCAGGTACAGCCACTGCTTGGCCTCGTTGGGATCCAGGTCGTGGTAGAAGTCCCTGGCGGCATACCCGAAGCTGTGGAACTTCCTCTCGGGGGTCAACAAGATGGTGGTCGGAGTCTTCTGGTTGGACACACCAGGGTCACCTCCCTCCCATCGCCTGCCACCAAGGGAGGGCAGAGGTTATAGGGCCTTCTCCCAGTTCAGGCAGCACGGATTTGAGTACCTACTGTATGCATGAGTGTCAGCGATGTGGGTGCTCAGACGCACCCTGGTCTAGTTGATTGAGTAGTGACCAGAGACACAACTTTAGTTAAAAAAAAAAAGGGCAAGTGCCAAGGTCTTGCTTGATAACAAGTCTGCCTTTATCTTTTCATTCAGTGTTTACTGAGCATCTACTGTGTGCTGGGTGCTAGTGACACAGACATGAAACTTACGTTTCTGCCTTCAAATAACTCATGATCTGGTAGGTAATGTATTATTTTGGTTTTTTAATCTGCAAGCACTCAATAGCAGAAATACAGCTGGGTCAAATGCTTTTGCAAACAAGTTAGGCATAAACAAATACATAAATACTTGCCTTATTAGAGAGAAATGAAGCGCCCAGGGTCAGAGAAGGCAAGGTGCCAGTTGGTCAGGCAAAGAAAGTGCAGGGCACAGGGGAGACTTGAAGTAGCGACAGACAACTGGATCTCAAAGGAGGGAAGGACACTCCAGGCTGCTCAGAAGTGGGCAGGCACGGGGCATGCGTGGGGAATGCTAAGTGGCTGTGTTGGCTGGAGAAAGAGTGTGTAAATGAGAAGAGTGATTGTGTAAATGGGAAGAGTGATTGTGTAAATGGGAAGAGTGAGAAATGAAATTCAGAAAGTGATTAGAATTGGGCTGAAGACAACCCTGGGGACTCAGAGATTTAATCTGTGAGTAATGGAGAGCCACTGAAGGTCTTAGAAAGAGGCAAGACAGAATCAGAGCTGCCGATCATGAGAGCAAACTGAACTAAAGGGAAGGAGTGGAAAGGGAGGCCAGGGGCCTGATGAGGAGGTCCAGTCCTACCCTGGAAGCAGAGGTGAGGGTGCCATAGGCAGAGAGAGCTGGGGACAGAGAGGTACCCTCCTCTCCAGGGGCAGAAAAGCAAATGGACTGGGAAGGGCAGGGGACTCAACACTTTTCCTTTCCTTTGAGGCCACTGCAGAAAGCCCAGGCTACCAAGAGGCCAAGCTGTTCCCTCCCCAACCAGGCCCTGGCTCCGAGTCTGGCTCCTGGCCTGCTGCCGGCCACGTGACTCCCGTGCGTGGCCTCAGGTGGAGCCGCAGTGCGCCAGGGGAGATGAGCTGTTCCAGCCCGCTCCCGACACCACAGCAGTAAGCAGCAGTGGGGCCATCGGGTCCAGATGGAGCTCCAGCCTCCCCGGGGACCTGCTGCTCAGACGGGTGTAGAATCATCCCTGGCAGCTTCTCCCCCAGGAGCCAAAGTCCCCGAGATGACCACACTGAGTCACAGGGACGGCCCCTATGCTGAGTAGCAGCTCCACCCACTGCCCTTCACAAACGCGCTTGTCATTACTATGCACTGCGACGTATTCACTAGATGACCCCATGAGCTTGTTCCCTTCTAATGTTTATTCCTTCATTCCTCTTTAAATAGAAAAAATTAAACTTTCTCATTCATAACTTTGTCAGTCTGTGTCATTATTATGTTAAAATGTTCTGACTGAAATAAACTTCAGTAGAACCAACCTCCCTCTAAAATCTCTACCAGGACTAAGATAACACCTCTAGGCACCCTAAACTGTGGGTATTCCTCCCAGTCAAGTTCAAAGTTATTTCACTCTCTTTTCTATTCACATTACATGACTACCCTGTGGAAATAACATTTCTTAGAACAACAACGTAGAATCTGCCCAACACTGAGACTAGGTTTGAATGGCAAGTTCTCTTCCACCCGGGCTTTCCATCTCGGGGGTCTGTGACGGTCGCACAGACCCTCACAGCATCTGTCTGGCTAACTGGAGGCAGCATCCTGGTGGCAATGAACCCTAGGGGCTACGCTGACATCAGGGTTCGCTGACACAGTACTGGCTTTTCATTATTTCCTGAGGAGACATCAGCCAGGGGTCTCTGGACCCTGTTACGACAGATGTGGCCTCAGGCTGAGCCACATCTGGTTTTCAAGGGAAAAAGTGGGGCCTAAACCATGACTGGAGTGGGAGTCACTTTTATCATGACTTGTGTCTTACATAGCACTTCATAAAAATGCCTGAAATCTTACTGTGGAGCAATACTAAATTCCCTGATTACTCAGTGGAAGGAGTTGCAAAGCCAATGACAACATATCTTCAAAGTCATCCTTTGCAGTTGGAAAACTGGGGTGATAGATCCCAGGCTTCTAAAGCTTTGAGGGGCCACGGACTTTGCAGGAAGGTCATGACTTGAGATAGCTGACATCAGAGCCAGGACAGACCAGAGTCCTCATGGACACTGGATCCCATGGGAGGGTGGGGGTGAGGGCCTGCTCTGTGCATGGGAGGGAAGGGAAGGTCTAGCACAGAGGGACTTCCGGAAGGCCCAGGGCAACTCTGCCTGTAGGGTCACTCGGCTGAGATTCACCCCATACTGCTTTCTGCTCTGCCTACCATTACCCCATGACTTCTCTTCACCAGAAAGAATGGGCACCTTCCCTGCTTACACTCCACTATGCACTAAGCACTTGACAGGCATCTCATTTGCTCTGCACACACACTATCCGTCAGGTACTGTTATTATCCCCATTTCGCAGGTGAGGAAACTGAGATTTAGCAGGTTCAGCAATTGCCTAAGATCACGCAGGAAGTGACTGAGCTAGCACCTGGGTCACCTCCATTACAGATACCCCATGGGTCTACGCCTTTCACCTCGGTCAGGCTTCAAACATGCTGCATGGGCCCCTCCCCACACCACCCAAATCAGAACTAAACCAACGCTTTTATAGACCAGGAACCCACAGGCCAGAAATGGCCTGCCCCCAGTGGCACAGTGGGTTTGGGCCCAGCTAGGCTGGAGTCCTGGGTCCTCCCCCTCAGCGCCATTCCCGGGCTCACTGCCTAATCCCGCCCCTGAGTCCCCACAGGTGCAGTGACTGGCGCCGGCAACGTGCTCCTCCCTCCCACAGCACTCGCCTCATCACGTGGATGCATTCTGGCTCCTTGGTGAAGCTGTAGGCGTAGCCACTGGACGTGGTCCCAAAGTCGATGGCCACCACTACGAGAAACGACTGCTGTTCCGAGACGTCGGGGTCGGCGTCGTTCTGCGGATATACAGAGAAGCACTGGGGGTGGGGACCGGGCCTGGCTCTCAGGAGGACACCCTGGGTGGTTCCACCCTGCCCAGCTGTGTACCCACTGCAGACAGAAGGACACTCCACGTCCCAGCTCGAGTCTGCCATCTGGAGAGCCCTGGGAGAGGGCAGGCCAGCCTCAGCCCCCACCCGAGAGGCACAGGGAGGAATGGAGGCGCCGAGCGGAAAGCGGGGGCACCTGCCTGCAGTGAGCATTTGCACTTCCCTCAGTCAACCTGTACGTACATAGGACTGCAGAAACTCTGCCGTCAGGGCGGGCGCCCAGTACTTCCCTGAGCAGACACACTCCCCCCCAGCGCCCACCCTGCCCCAGTCTCCTTGCAGACCTCCCATCACCGCCTAAGCACTTTGCCAGCTGTGTCCCTTGTACCTGCCAGATGACCACTCCACCAGGGCCAGCATTTCGTGCCCGTGAGTGAGCAGTAACTGCAGACCCCTTGAGTCCTTCCCCTCGGGGCCCAGGGCCTTTCCTCATCTGTCAAGTCACTTGGTCAGGCCATGCCACATTTCCAAACCTTTTTTTTTTGAAGCAGTGTAGATTTTTTTCTTTTCAATTCCCACAGAACTCTGAATTATAGAACCAACAAACTTTGAAGTTGTCCTGTTTTAGTTAAAGTGGGGGTGAGAACGCCACCTGTCTGGCCTCTCCTCCCACTATCCTCCCTCCCCACACACCCTGAGGCTCTCACAGGGTACCCTCAGGGTGCAGAGTTTGAAAACCACAGGACCTGGCCCAAGGGGACGAACCCTCCCAGTGTGTCCAGGACTGAGGGAGTCCCCAGGATGCAGGACTCTTGGTGTAAAGCAGGACAGTTCCAAGAAGCCAGGATGAGATGGCACCCCTACCTAGTGGAGCTCCCAAGCCCTCAGCAGGGTCTTCTTCGTGACTCTGGGGAGCTCATGCAAAGCTGCTCTCTCCTCCAGGTACAAACTCGGTGGGCCACGTGTGCACCCCTTGGGACACCTCCCACAACACCCGTCTCCTCTCATGGCGCAGGGAGTGGTGGGAGCAACGGCCTCCTCCCCAGGCCCCTACATGGGGCAATTACACGGCCACACGCTTCTGGACAGGGCAGTTAGGTGCAGTCTTGATGGCTGCTTCCTTCCAAGGGGATGCCGCGCAGCCCTGAGCCCTGTGCCATTAAGGGCTGCTCCTCCCTGCCCAACCATAGCTCCAGAAGCACCAGCCGCAGCACGGAAGCCTTTTCAGGCCCAAAGTCAGGAAGGGGCATGGCAGGGCTCAAGTGGCTCATCCCAGGTCAATTTATCTCCACCAGCAAAGGGGAGGGGCTGCCCAGCAGCCTCGACTGTGAGATCAGACCCAGAATGGACAGTTAGCGCGCATGCACACACACACACACACACACACACACACACACACACACACACACACACACACGCTTCTTACCACGATATGGGAAGGGGACAGAGGCGTTATTCCTGTGTCTCCAAGACTCCTCGCTGGAGACGAATATGCAGATGTGGGAGCCGTTTCTGAAATGAAAGACAAAGTCCACACCTTAGAAGTAGCAGAAATGAGGGCAGCTTGGCCTTGTCCCTACTGGCACTGTGGCCTCTGGAGAGCCACCTCACCGATGGGCAACGCCCCATCCCAGCCAGGATGGTGGGGACATCCCTTCCAGCACCCCCTTGTATTTGATATTTAGAACTTGACCAAATGAGATACTCATTTTCTCCCAGCAACCACCCGGCCTCTCTGTGCCACCTGCCCCTGCTAAGCGGGAGATGCTGCTCGGTCCCCAAAAGCCCCTCGCTCCTGGCTTCGTCCGTCTTCTGGGGAGCCAGCTCTTAACCTGGACTCCATGATGGACTTGAAGAACCTGCGGCCACCTGAGATGGTGTGTAATTTTTGTGTGCATTTTCTTGGAAGAGTATCCGCAGCTCTCGGGTTCCCCAAGGGGTGTAGGACACTCTCCCCAAAGATTAACAACCCCTATCCTAGGAACATAGGGTAGGAGTACAACTTCTGGAAAGAGTGTCCTTCCCTAGTGGATGGCAGAGCATGGTGAACTCACCTCTCTTCAGTGATACCGAAAGTTTTGGACATGGAGTAAGAAAAACCCCAGCAAAAAGGCAGGTGGATTAGCATTCCCGGCCCCTGCAGACGTGGCCCGACAACAGGCACGAGGTCAAATGGGAGAAGGGCCAACTGCTCAGCAGCAGGACATCGTTCTGCCCACTGTCCTGTTGCTCTCACCATTATTCAGGCATAGCACCTGTTCTGAAGCCTTCCCAGTGCCCAGGGGTCTTCCCCCTCCCGGGAGTGGGACCCCAAGGAAGTCTCGCTCTCCCTGATCAGTGCTGGAATGCTCCTCAGTGCTCTCCCTGCCCGCTGCCCATCACAGTGGGTACCAAACAGGCCGAGGGAACGAAATGAGTCACGCCAGAGAGGATGTGAACTTTGTATCTGCACTGTCGCTTCCCTCTCTGCAGGCTCGCGGCCTCGCTCCTCCTGGGGAGGCTCAGTTCCAACCTCGGGGACAGAGATGCAACAGGCACAAAATCAGCTCACTGAGCAAAGGACTCCAATAGACATTTCCCCAGAGAAGATACACAAATGGTCAGTAAGCACATGAAAAGATGTTCCACATCATTGGTCTTTAGAGAAATGCAAACCAAGACCACAATGAGATACCACTTCACACCCACTGAGATGGCTGTAGTTTTTTAAAAAGGAAAATAACAAGAGTTGGCAAAGATTTGAAGAAATTGGAACCCTTGTGCATTGCTAGTGGGAATGTAAAATGGGGCAGCTGCTATGGAAAACAGTTTGGCTGTTCCTCAAAAAGTCAAGTATAGAATTACCACACAACCCAGCAATTCCACTCCTGGGTCTCCATCCCAAAGAACTGAAAACATAAAATCAAAGAGATACTTGTATGTGAATGTTCATTGCAGCATTATTCACAAAAACCAAAAGGTAGAAACTATCCAAGTGTCTATCAACAAATGAATGGATAACAAAACCATACCATGGAATAGTATTCAGTCATATAAAGGAATGACATTCTTATACACACTGCAGCCAAGGTGAACCTAGAAACCATTTCGCAAAGTGAAATAGCTGGACACAAAAGGACAAATATTGTATGAAATACCCAGAATAGGCAAATAAATAGAGGCAGAAAGTAGATTGGAGGTTACCATGGGCTGGAGAAAGGGAGGAATTGGAGAGTTTTTGCTTAATGGGTACAGCATTTCTGTTAGGGGTAATAAAAAGTTTCAGAAATAGATAGTGGTGATTGTTGCACAACACTGGGAATATAATTCATGCCACTGAATTGTACACTTAATAGTTAAAGTGGCAAATTTTATGTTATACATACCATGATAAAGAAAAAAAAACTTATTAAAAAAAAATCAACTTGCTCATCTGGGAGGGGAAGTGATTTCTGATTCCTATTAGCACCCAAGGCCCAGTGCTCTTGAAAAGAGAATGGAGAAGTAGCTCAGTTCCTGACCAGCATGCTAAATGCCACCATCTTTGCTAATCTCCCAGCACAAAGCCACAAAGGCAGGGGGAACTCTGCCTCTCCACTAGGGGGTCCAGCAAGATGGTCCTTCCACCTGTTGACAGAGATCCTCGCTGCCCACGGCTCTTGGGCAGCCTGCAGAGACATGCACCAGGAGCCACCCTCTCCACCTGCTACCTGGAAGGCCTGAGGCCATGTGTCCACATTTGCACAGACGGTCTTGGAAGAAATCAAGTGTCTAATTGCCCAGAAAATCTGGTGTTGGCAATTAGCAAACAAGCTATTATCTGCAGACAAACTATCCACCCCGCTGCTGTTTGGTTCTAATTATCCCATCACTCAGCCCTTCTCGGAGCATGTCCCAGGCCGTCCCACTGATTTGCAAACTAGCACGGGTCAGGCCACACATTGAACACATGCCTTGGGCCCTCAGGGGACTCCAGGATACTCTGAAGGCAAGAACCAAGGATTTTTTTGGTTCTCTCTGAACTTCCCTCCCCCACCACAACTGGGACAGTTTATACAAATCATTTGACTTGCTGATCACTCAGCCAGGCCTAGAAGCAGCTGATCTCCACGCACTTTCTCCACCAGAAATTACAATGTAGCTACATTATGTGATGACTTAAAATTGATCTGCATAGAAGGTATGGAAGAGGAACCTTTTCATAGATACTTTCACATCACGCCCACCAACATCTATATATCTACATATTCCAGATCAAAGATAATTTACCAGTTAATGTCCAGCAGCCCAGCACAGGAAATTGCAAAACCTGTATAGCCACACTAACAAATTTTTACTTCACTACTTAATTTATGATGTCAAAGTAGTGCTCAAAAATTCTCCAGGAAAAGAATACAGAAAAGCCTACCTTACCTATCACCCGAGGGGTGCAAATGAGGAGCTTAATTCTGGCTTGCAAATAGTCCCAACAAGGCTTGAGATCTTTCATTGAACAGGTAAATGATTGGGAATAGACACAAAAGGGCCAGTGGAATATTGTCTATTCATTTATGGATATTGGACAGACATAAGCTAACAGACAACGGGAGAGAGTTGATACATGGGGAATGTCTCTATGTACAAGGCATATGCTGCGTGTCCTGCTGTCACTTATACGGAGGCCGTCATCCACAGCAAGCAATACCGAATGCCATTTACTGTGGCTCTGCCTGGGCTCCTTCTGGAAAGCCCCTGCAACATCTCCCCTGGGGTGACTTCCACCCACGGGATGGCCCGGTTCAGCACCCACAGGATGACTTCGGCACGCTAGGAACAGAAGAGAAAGGCTAAGCCAACACCTGGAGGCAAAGAGAGGCTTGGAAGAAAGGAAGGAAGCCGGACAAGAGAAAACTCAGACCCTTTTGTGGAGGCAGGGAAGGTAGAGTGCCGAGAGATTAAAGGAAAATGCTTTACCGGGAAATGTGACCAAGGGCAGCGCTGGAGGAGCTGGGAGTTTTAAGAACTACCAACTGCACTGTTCCAGCCAGATTAAATAAAGACCACTCAAAGCGTCTTCCACTTCAACACTAAGTGACCCCGAAGTCCTGTAACCCAGGGGGATTCGACAATGTCACATCACAGAATCAGGAAAACTGTGACCATTTCACGAATGCAAGCTGCCAGCCACAAAACCGAGGTTCAACTGAGCGGAAAGACACTCGGGGGCTTTCTAGTGAACAAACAAAAATCAGTCACCAGGTCTCCTTAGTTACGGATAATTTAACGTCACTTAGGTCTTGTATGGTTAGTGTGCAGATGACCTTTTTGTTTAGTGAATATAAAAATAAATTGACAAGGGTGGATACAGGTTCATTCATAAACTGGAACCCTCCCACCCCAACACATTAAAGCATTTTTGCCCCAAAAGGGGGGTATGTAAATAAATGAAAATATTTTTGCAGCAACGTAGAGAACAGATACATAAATCATTTGACCAACAACTCTCCTGCAACAGGACTTTTTTAGAACCCCAAAGCAGATAGTTGAGGAAGAACTAGTTTAACTTGTTAATTTAATCCTCATCCCTTGCCTTAGTAGTATAAGAATCAAAATACAGGCTTCATCTGGGTTCCTGCTATAAAATGCAACACACATAAAATTCAGACACATTTTTTATTTGCTCCCAGCTCTAATGGCCTTAATCAAAGCAGACGTTCTTAAAATAAAAAATAGTCTTGGAAGAGAACCTCAAGGAGACCCATAATTCATGAACTTGCTTGTTGCTCTTCTCTGCTGGAGACATTAGTCAGCAAATGGCCGTGAGCAGAATCGTAGGCATTCTCGGACACAGAAAATCAATCCTGCTCCATAAATACAACATTTTTAAAGACAAAGACAGAAGCATAAGGCTGCCTTTATTCCACAAGGTCCCAGGCTCACGTAACATGTGACAGGTGGCCTCAACAATAGTGACATGCTAACTTCTCCAAATAGTCCTTGTTGCTAGCGTTTGGATTTATGTATCTATCAAATAAATGCCCAATTTCAAAAGGATTTTCAAGGTCTTTTCCTTATGATTTAAAGGATGCAATATATATGTTTCTTTTTGTTTTTATTTCTTTTTCTCCCACTGGCTGTGAGACAACAGGTCTTTGCTGACAACTGCCTAAAATCAGGTTATTTGATAAAAAGCTCTCTTTCTTTGTGTCCTTATACACCCTCCCTGCAGCGTCATCTTTGAAAATTGATGAGATCAAGGTCATGTGTAGGTTACTGGCAAATATCTTTTAAGAAGGAAAATAAAAAATATTTTATTACCCTATAACAGGCTTCATGGCTAGCTGAACTAATGCATTATTACCATAAGCTGAACTTCCATTTCAGTAAATAATTTATGGGCTTTTTTTTTTTTAATCACCGTGGTTGATGTCCAGAGTAAATGGAAATTTTATTGGCATGAACCGAGAGACCCTCTCACTACAAAGAACACTGAGTGTAAAATAACCACTCTCCAAATGCTAAATAATAATTATGGAAATGAGCATTTACTGTGGCAGAGACACAGCACCAAGCCCAGGCTGAATAGAGGGGCTGCCCCAGGCCCATCCTGACACTGGCAGCATCTTCCCATGACCAGTCCTGTTTCCCTGAATGGTCCAGGACAGGAGATACCCCAGTGAGAAGTGAGAAAGACTGGGGCAGCTGGGTTTCCCCAGAGGAAAAGAAATCCCCAAGTCCCTGCAACCCCAGACGGTCAGTGGGGGCGGTCCACATTCTCTCTCCTAACGGCAGGTTCACGTGCTGGTTCGTGGGCCTCCAACTTGTGTCTGTGTGTGTCCAGGCAACTGCTGAAAGAGGTGAGGAAATACTTTCCAAACCAAAAGTTTTCCTAATTTTCATGAATTACTCTCAGCAACCTGGCAGCATATGGAGGGCTCCACCAGATCAGATACTGACATGCTTCTGTTCACCTGGGGCAGGACCGTGTCTGCCACCATCTCTGACTACTCAGCTCCTGATATGTCACAGACACTCAAAAAATGTTAGATGATGGATGGATGGTGGGTGGGTGGATGGATGAGTGGATGTTTCCATGTGTGCCCAAAAGTGGACTCAGTGACCATCCACGGGCTTGGAGAGCCCGTAAGGTCTTTCCCAACTGAGGCATCGACTCCTCCAAGCTGGGATATTGGTAACACACATGCTGAGTTGCCTCCAACGATGTGGGATTAGCTCTCAAATCACCCAGATCTGCCTCTCTCCTCAGACACCCCTGTCACCAGTGGCAGCACCATTGGCCCCAGGTGGGAGATTTCCTAGACATTCTCCCTTCTCATTCCATCTGCAAGCCCTGTCACTCCTACTTCCTAGCATCTCTCACAAGCATTCTCTCCTCTGCAAAGTCACCACCACAGCCTTGGTTCAGATCCTTCTGACCTGTTAGTCTCCCTGTCCCAGGCCTGTCCTCTCCAAGCCACACTCACGCTGTAGTCAGAGCCATCTGGTCAACAATGAGGTCTGTGTGCATTACCCAACTCAACCTGGTCAGGGTCTTCCCCTGCCCACTGTCCGCAGGACAAAGTCCCACACACTGCAGCACCTGTGCCCTTCCAAGTCCACCCGCCTCCTTGTGCAGCCTCTTCTCGATCCATTGCCCCCATCCCTGGCCATACCAAACCTTTCTGTCTGTGGAGCACCTGTGCTTGATCCAGCCTCCCAGCCTTTGCACATGCTGTTCCCCTGCCTAGAGTGCGCCCCGTTTCTGCAGCAGGCCAACTCTGCATCATCCCTGGGGACTCACACCTCTAAGAGTCAGACCCCTCTATTTGAGAGAGGAGAGCCTTCTCAGCTCCCTTGGTGCAGGGGCCAGAAGACTTGTTAATGGGCATGTGGTGGTCAACTGGCAAGATGGGGGGCATGGCTACAAGATAATAGCAGGTTTCTCCAATAAATAATCACATGGAAAATAGGCAGGAAAGGAGGGGAAACCTATAGACCAGAGGTTCTCAAACTCTGATGCCCATCAGAATCCTCTGGGGGCTTGTTACCACACAATCACTGGCCCCACGCCTAGAGCTTCCAATCCAGTAGGTCTGAGGCTGGCGGAGAATTTCCATTTGTAATGAGTTCCGGGGCCAACCAGGCTCTGCCCCAGACCAACTGCTATACCTTACGAGACTTAAAACACACATCAACTCTGGTAACTGCAACATGTGGACCTTTATCGGGTCCTCATTCAAATAATCGAAAACTGTTACATATATGAGGCAATTAGAAACGTAAATATTGATCCCAATATTGATAGTGTTAAGCAATTATTATTAATAGTGTAGTTATAAAATTTTTAAAAGAGCCCTTGTCTTATAGGGATACATTCTGAAATGTTTACAGATGAAACCCATATGATTCCTGAGATTTAAATCAAAATAATGAGAGGATAGGGGCAGAGATTAAATAAGTTTAGCTACAAGTTGATAATGATTGAAATTAGTGGCAGATTCATAGGGATTCAATACATTATTTGCTCTGCTTTTCTACGTTTTAAATTTTCCATGATAAAAAGAGCTGTGATTTTAATGTGCCAGTTCCATGGCAGCTGCAGGAGGGCAAAACAGTGTTTTTCTTACGCTCTCTCAATCAGAGCACCTGGCCCATAGGTATTTGTCAAATGAATGAGTGAACCAGTAAGAAAGAGTTCATTTGAACCTATACACATGGACTTGGAAGACTTGGGAAGGTTTTGGGTCTCGGGGTGGCTGAGGGGTACACATCCAGCTGGCTTCTCTGGAGCTGAGGCTGTTGGGCCAAACAGACCAAGACAATCCAAAGGAGTCTGAATTTCAGCAGGTCCCACCCGACCCCCTTGCAGATGACAACACAGATGTCCAGCCACCAGCTGAGCAGCTCCCGCTCCGGGACAGGCTCCAGCCAGGCCTCAGATACAGGGGCCTCCTGGTAATCAGCTGACAGCTCCTAGACTTTGGAACCTCTCTGTAAACCTGGGACCTCAGAGGAGGCAGGGGGTTGTCCACCACTCACTGCTGGGCCCCTCCACATCTGAGAAACAGGGGAGCTACCCCTGCAGAATGGCAGTATCACTTAAAGGACCATGACATGCCCATTTTGCTTTGTCCTTCAGACTTGCTAAGATCCCAATGTCACAAGGAAAGGACAAGGAGTCTCAGTCTCAGTGGAGACTGAGTCTCAGTCTCTTGGCATCTTCCTGTGGTTTGTACTCCAGAGAGGAATGGTGAGCTGAAATACTGATGTCACATGTAGTACTACAAGCGCAAGCTCTGAGTCCTCCCAAAAGGTGGGGGGTTGGGGAGGTATTCCTGTGGCGGCCAAGGGTGCAGGCAGAGCATACTCCATGCTCAGGCCCCAGGTTGGCCTTGGCTTTGGGGCAAGCAGAGGGGTCAGGCCAGGTAGCCAGCTTGGGCTGCAGGGCCAAGGGTGTGTCTCCTGAGACCCAGGAAGGCCCTGGAACAGGAGCAAAGCCAGAGTTGGCTCTTTGTGCATCTCATGAAATCCTGCTTGGTGAGTAAGGTTGCTGTGAAGCGCTGTCACTATTTCCATCCTATGGACAAGAAGACGAAGTCTAAAGGTTAAGAAAGAAGCCCACACCGTCAGTCAGCAGCCCCCCAGCTGGAGTCAGAGCCCTGTGCTGAACACAGCGCCGTTTCTCATGGCAGACGCAACCATGAGATAGATGAAAATCCACATTTCACACAGGAGCAAATGATGTGGCGGAAGTCAGGAGGTCACGATCACAGGGCATTCCCAAGTCCCAGCCTGCTGTCTCTACCTCCAGGCCCATGAGGCTCTATGGCTCATTCTTCCCTGGGCTGCACAGCTGAACAGCTGTCTCCATTTTGAAAGCCATAATTCTTCAGCTCCAAAGATCAAGGCAGGGCAGGCACATATTGACAGCACAGAGGTGAGAGATACAAGTGCAGAGTCAGGGAAGCCTGATCTCAAATCCCAGCATGGCCACTTCCCAGATGCACACCATTGGGAGCTACTTAACTTCTCGGAGCCTCAGTTTTCTCACCAGGAAAATGAGAGGAGAAGAGGGAGGATGATATGCTTTTTAGGAGTGCTCTGAAGAATAAAGGAAATAATACCTATAAAACCTGGTGTGTGGCAAGCACCCAATAAATCATAGGTGTTATTTTGTTATTTATTATTATCATCATTATAAAATTAGTCCAAATGCTGCTGAGAAAAGAGTAGTGAAAAATTAAAGAGCGTTAGAGGAAGTAGAAATGGAGAGTGATTGCTAATGGGTATGGGTTGCTTTTCAGGGTGATAAAAATGTTCTGGAACTTGATAGTGGTGATGGTTGCACAATCTCGTGAACACTAAAAACCACTGAATTGTGTACTATAATGTGGTGAACTGTATGATATGTGAATTATATCTCAATAAAAAAAATCAAGCCAGGCATGGTGGCTCATGCTTCCATAATCTCAGCTACTGGGGAGGCTGAGGCAGGAGGATTGCTTGAGCTCAGGAGTTCAAGGCCAGCCTGCACAACATAGCGAGACTCTGTCTCTAGAAGAAAAATATTAAATAAATAAATAAAATCAAAGAACTGGTAGAATCAGCCTTGTAAGGAAAACTGCCACCATCCCACCTGCCTTCAGGAGCACAGTGGGAATGGACATAGCCACCCCCACCCATCCTGGGCTCTGCTCCTTCCTTCCCTGCCTCCAGAGGGGACCAACCTCCCTGCTTGGCAGAGCTGGCAACAGCTCTCACAGGACTTGTTCAGTGGTGAGTCTAGCTGCTGACTTCAGACTGTCTGACCAGGGCTGGGGCAACAGCTGGCACTGCCATCTCCTAGTCACCCTGTTCTTGGCAACATAAGAACCCAGGCACAGAGCGTGAACGGCACCCTAGTTACTGTCACTTTTCCCCTAGACACTTTTGCTCTAGACACTCTAAAGCTGGCTGGCCAGAGTGAAACAGCCCGGCTACTCCCAAGGGCCAGGCGTGTCATCCTGATGGGGCACTGTGGACTGAGGATGTGCAGGTGCTCTTCCCGCAACAGGTAAGCAGTTCAAGGTATCCTGGAATAAATGCTAGGCAAAGGTGCCTAAAAACCTGCAGCCATAACTGGCCCTCCGCAGGAGTCCCGCCCCTGCCTGTGTCAGGAGGGCAAACTACACCAGCATTAAAACATTCTGCAGTGTGACCGTCTGCATGTGCCAGCTGCGGCTAGCCAGGGGCCTGGGGCTAGGAGGTGTTCAGGAACCTGCCTGACAAAATGCTGCTTCCAGAAGACAAAGGAAAAGAGAAGGCCAATGCCAGAAGAGGCTCCAAAGAGCCCTTGGGGGGCACACGCCAGGACTGCCCCCTGAAGCCTGGAGGAAAGCATCGTAGGAGCTGCCAGCATGTGGGGACACCCCCAGGGGCCAGTGCCCACTCAGAGCACACAGCCCGGGCACTGCACACAGCACATTCCCGGCGTGGTAAGCAAAGACTTCCACGTTAGGAGAAAAGAGAGCAAGTAAGTCCTTTCAGAGATTTTTTAAGACCTTGTAAGTTTAAAATCCCTAATAACTTCTTAATTTAGTAATACAAAATCTTCAAAGATGGACTTCTATTCTTACAAGAAGGAATTAAAGTGGATTAAGTTATTGATTAACCTTAGACTTTGCTAAGTTAAGTACGCATGGAAAAATTTCAAAAGCAACTGCTCGCGAAAGGAGATGAGATAGAACATCTAACTTCCAGAGCAGGAAAAGGAGATCAAGACAAAGAACACTGAATGGATAATTCCTACTGAAGACTGAATTTGCTCAGTCGTTTCCCAAGGAATCTCTGGGCCGTGGAAAGTCACTCCCCAGGCTCTTCCACAGAGCGGGGGAGAAACTCCAAGCCAAGGGACCCAGAGGGGCACCCAGAGCAGCCCATAGCCCACCCAAGGCCAAGCACAGCACCCCTCGCCCTTTTCACAATGTACCCAGCACAGCTCCTGGCCCAGAAAGGCAAACACTCACCACCCAATTTTCATAAGCTTTTAAATTTGAACTTAAATCAACCTCACTAAAAACAAAACAAAAACCCTGGTGTGAATGACTATGGCAGGATAAGAGCAAACAAGCTACAGACTCCTCCTAATCACCACTCCCTCCTCTCCCGCCACCACAATGAAAGGCAACAATGAGTCCCTTCAAATCCTTTCCTGAGCTGAGGTGGGGACGGCAGACCTCAAACCCACGTGAACTCCAGGAAATAACAAACGCATCATGTTTAGGGGGCACGGAGAAGCCATACAGATGGCCCCAGTTGCCAAAATATTCAGACTCACCATGGTTGCTCGCATACCCTGGTGTGTACATGTTATGCACACAGGAGGGGCTTGAGGACACGTGGCCTCCCAGGACCCCTTGTTCCAGCCGACATTCCAGTCCCTGCAGTGCTCGGGTCCAGAGAAGGGGACTTTGCACCCTCACCCTGTGCACAGATGGACAACTGCCCAAGCACAGGCCCAGGGAGGTCTCAGCAGGGTGGTCTGTCTCTGGCCTTTCACTGCTGCTGTCCCACAGGCCTGTCCCTCCTGGGGTGCAGGCCAGCCCACTACATTAGGCCTGATGGCATTCAAGGACAGCTTCTCTGACATCATTGTTATCTTTAACAGCTCCGTCTGGAACTCAGTCCATCAGCGGCCATCTCCTCTGCAGAGAGGAATGCTCCAGACAGTCACAGAGTGACCAGCCTGACCCCCTCCAGGCACACCCCCATGGAGCCAGGAATGTCTGTGCCCGGGGTGCTGACCGCATGCTGGGAGGTGTCCACAGGAATGCTTCAGGCTTGGGAAAGTGGGGGCTGGTCCCAGGGACACCTGCGCAGGCCCACTCCCCCAGCCTGGTGCCCTGCCTCTCGCTCTCTCCACAGACACAGTCTGGGAGGGTCCTGAAGGGCGTGGACACAACACTGAGGACATTCTGGGACATAGAATAGTGGACAAGAAGCTAAACATGCAACAGGACACAGGCAGCATTACCCGGAGGCTAAACAGCGGGAACAACCAGGGCCGACGGGAAATATCCCGTCTCTCACATGCCCTGTGTGACTGTCCCATGTCCCCCTAGGCCCATCTCCGCTGGGCTGCAGTCAGTGGACATGCATCACATGCGTACTTAATTCATGAGAATCTGAATATGAGTTTTCAGGCCAAAACAAGTGATTATTATTTAAAACAATTTAACTATTAACTTGAATATTATCAGTATTGTAATTAAAATCACTGCGAAATTCTATTTTGCACATGGACTCTTCATTAGGCACTGCGATGATAAGGGGTGTTAGGACACACTGATGCCACTGAAGGGCGGGAGGTGGAAGCAGCCCCAGGCAGGTGATGCTTGACTGGCTTCTGGAAGGGCAGGTTTGCCGAGTGAACAAGGGTGGGGGAAGGGAACACCAGGTCAAGGGAACAGCAGGCAGAGTGGCGTGAAGACCTTCCCAGAGGCCTT